ATTTGTACGTTTTTGGATTACATCAAAGTTGACATTCTCTTTGCTTTTCAAAAATGTGTAGGCGAAAATACTGGCTTTTTGTTTTTGTTTTTATTTTTAATTTGGCGAATGGTAGTTGCCATGTAGCAAACAATACCAAACATGATTGTAACTTAAATATTAGTGCTGTAAAAATAGCACTTAATGAATTGGATGACAAATCTCACTAAAACTCAAACATCAATGAGAAGATTGAAACTTGAACTCAATATGACTTCTAACATAATAATGAGAGATTGTCAACTCACAAAAATGATCAAAATATCTTCAAACTTGTCTATAAATAGATTCAGTTTACAAAATTAAAAAAGGATTGAAATCGAAAGAGTATTAAAGATTTAAATAGTTAAGATTTATTTTCCACTCTCGATTCGCAATGGCTCAGGGCAAAATCAGGGATTGACACTCTTGAAATCTTAGTATTCTCCAATTGAAGAGCATTTTTCGGCCAACATGAAATTCATTTCCTTTCTTCTACGCCACAAAAAAATAAAATAAAAAATAAAAGATATATAAGCAAAACAAAACAAAACAAAACAAAAAATACACCCAAAGGGACAAAATTACATCACGAAAAGGGTCCACATTATCTATGACGGCAAGTGATTTTACTAACACTTTCGGTACCCAATGCTACTTTGAGTCTGTCTTTAGTGTAGACGTTAGGGTTATGTCAGACGAAAGAAGAAAGTTGAAAGTTTTTGAACTCTAATCTTTTTGAAGATAAGGTTGTAAGTGCAATTGCTGGTGATTTTTCATACTACAATCTTGACGAAGTATTGATTTACACAACCGTAAATTTTACAACAATATTGTATGTACAGAAATATAGTTCACATAAATGTCACAGAATACTCACAATAGGGGGTGGGTAATATTTTTAGCATTTTTTTTATTACACCATGGGACCCACCCATGTGAGTGTACGGAGGAATTCTCTGAGACATACATACAACATTTTTGAAATTTTAAATACATTAAATTGTTGGTAACCTTATTATTAAAAAAAAATAAAAAATGTACACAATAATAAATTTAGTACAATTTCAACTCCAAGCCTCTCCCAAGTCCAGATAGAGAAAGGGAATTTTTAAAACCTTAAATTTATTGATTAAATACAGTAACAAATGTGATTTTTTCCCCCCTAATTTGACAGATTTTCAGCATACGGCTTGTTTACCCATAGCCAAGCTCCAAAATCTACGAATGAGCTGACTTGTGCTCAATTCACCTGGATCGAGCCGACTTGACCTAGCCGTTGACATACTATAATTAAAGGGTTTATATTATTTTAGAACATCCTATTCACCACTAGCTAGCTATGTCCAACCCAACCAAAATAGAGATAATATATCACACTGCATCCCTGCACATACGGAATTTCTAGATGTAATATAAGCATGTTGAGTGGGAGTGGGCGCGGTCCGATTTGGTCCGAACCGAATACCAATGAAAATTTTAGAAATGGAACTATTGGTTCCATACTTAGCTATGGAACCGAACCGATCGGTTCCGATTCGGTCCGAACCGATTCTTTACATTCAAAATGTCAAAATAAAATGGTCACTAATAAAAGCTCTAAAAATGCTACTAACGTGATACTTTTAACAAAATATAGAAGAATCAAATATATTATTCAAAGATTTATTTAGGTATAGATTTACAAAGTGAAAATAAAATAATAACCATGTAATCAAAGTGAAAACAAAATAAAAATTTCACATCTTATAAATGAAATTATATATTGTAAATAAATTTATTTAGATATAGATTTACCCTATATTTTAATTTGGCTTGAGAATCAATTAATTAAAGAATTATAAGAAGAGACAAGGAAAGGATCAAAGAGAAGAAGAAAAGTGTTGAAGTCTAAAATTAAGAAGGAACCCAATTATTTTTTATAGAAGTGTTGGAAATTGAGTCATATATTTTACCCAAAAAAAGAAAAAAAAAATCCAATGAGAATCATTTGGTTCTCGCAGTTCCTATACTAGAACCAGGAACCGGACCGGAACCGGTCGGTTTCTAAAAATTTTGTCTCGAAATCAAATTATTTTTAGAAAATCTGGAATCGAACCGCTCGGTTCTAAATGGTTCTGGTCTAATTTCACTGGTTCTAGGAAAAAAGTGCCCACTTCTAAGGTTGAGCATGCTAGCTTTGCTACACAACAATATCCCTTCTTCAAATACTCCAGAAAGTCAAAATAATTATATTCAAAATACTATATCCATCTATTCAAGATCACTCACTCTAAATATCGAAAGTTCAAAAAACTTTATTACAACTATATCAATTTATCTTCTAAATGAGAGAGATAAATTGACACGACGAATCGTGACTCGACACAACTTGCTGAAACACTGTCAATTTCGTAGTTTGCTCCAATCCTTAAGGCCATTATAATTGAAATGGGACCTCTCAATTTGATGGCTTTTAGTGCACCCTTGATGTTGAAACCACGATAAGTTAATTTGAGGACCCATGAAATGTACCATCAATGAATTCTCAGCCGTCCAATGTGCCAATTGAAAGTTATTTTACTTTTAAAAATGTCAAAATAAAATGTTCACTAATAAAAACTCTAAAAATGCTACCAACGTGATACTTTTAACAAAATATAGAAGAACCGAATATATTATTCAAAGATTTATTTAGGTATAGATTTACAAAGTGAAAATAAAATAATAACCATGTAATCAAAGTGAAAACAAAATAAAAATTTCACATCTTATAAATGAAATTATATATTGTAAATAAATTTATTTAGATATAGATTTACCCTATATTTTAATTTGGCTTGAGAATCAATTAATTAAAGAATTATAAGAAGAGACAAGGAAAGGATCAAAGAGAAGAAGAAAAGTGTTGAAGTCTAAAATTAAGAAGGAACCCAATTATTTTTTATAGAAGTGTTGGAAATTGAGTCATATATTTTACCCAAAAAAAGAAAAAAAAAATCCAATGAGAATCATTTGGTTCCCGCAGTTCCTATACTAGAACCAGGAACCGGACCGGAACCGGTCGGTTTCTAAAAATTTTGTCTCGAAATCAAATTATTTTTAGAAAATCTGGAATCGAACCGCTCGGTTCTAAATGGTTCTGGTCTAATTTCACCGGTTCTAGGAAAAAAGTGCCCACTTCTAAGGTTGAGCATGCTAGCTTTGCTACACAACAATATCCCTTCTTCAAATACTCCAGAAAGTCAAAATAATTATATTCAAAATACTATATCCATCTATTCAAGATCACTCGCTCTAAATATCGAAAGTTCAAAAAACTTTATTACAACTATATCAATTTATCTTCTAAATGAGAGAGATAAATTGACACGACGAATCGTGACTCGACACAACTTGCTGAAACACTGTCAATTTCGTAGTTTGCTCCAATCCTTAAGGCTATTATAATTGAAATGGGACCTCTCAATTTGATGGCTTTTAGTGCACCCTTGATGTTGAAACCACGATAAGTTAATTTGAGGACCCATGAAATGTACCATCAATGAATTCTCAGCCGTCCAATGTGCCAATTGAAAGTTATTTTACTTTATTTCAACACCTTCCGCAAATAGAGTCTATTTTACTTTTAATTAAACCTTAATTAAGGAAAAATATTGGGACTTACAATATGATTTAGTGCGTGCCACATCTTGTCAAAGAATTAAGTGAAAGTTAAAAATCTTGATATTTACTTCGTTCCCCTTTTAGTCAATCTATATAGAAATCCATAATAGCATTAAGGGTCGACTATTTAACTAAAATAGAAAGTTGACTTGTTATTGGATAAATTTGACGACAATATGGGAAGAAGTCCAATACTTTCCGTTCACGTGACCAAGGAAAAATCAGAATAAAGCTTGGTTATACAAATTGTGTGAACGAAAATTCATTACAATATTGTTCAAAGAAACACTCTTATAATTATAGCCCTTGCTCTGCTCCTGTTTGATTTTGATAAAAATCAAATTATTAGTAAAATTTTGTTAAAACTCGATAAAATTTATAATTAAAAAATTAATAAAATTTGTGAATTTTATGAAAAGTATGATTAAACTAAATTTAAGAAAGGAGGACGTAATGTGATTAGTATTTATGACATTTCTCTGTCAAATTCAAGTTTATTACTTAGGGCCCATCGAACTTTCTCGTGTGTTATACTTTACCATTAACTAATATAATAATTCCTAGTTGTCCACCATGAGCACATCCCAAACTTTTGGTAACATAGCCCATCACCGTGCAGACACGTGTCACATGGATTGTGACATGGCAATTGAGCCAACAATCTTACTATATACGTACATTTTGATTTACTTATTAGTTTATCGAATTTACACTTGGCACAATTTTACACCATCTTTCATATTCTACACATTTAATATAACCAATCATCACAATCTTATCATGTCATCCATCTGTCAATAACAATATCAAAATTTTAAGAATTTTGTTAGTTGCACAATTGGGGTTGACAACCTTCTCATAAGAGGGGGTCTACGGTTTTTTATTCATCGTGTCCTCCTCCTATGTGTGTGGTTGTCATTCGAAATTGTCGATCCCGATTGTACATATAGTACGACCCAATTTTTTAAATCGTTGGGCCCTTTGTTTTATTACCACTCATGCTTCGACCCATGGAAGGACTTGTGAGCAGGTGGTGCAGACCCCACCTCCACGTGGGTTGTGGGACCATACTTGGATTTGAATATTGTAAAACACCATTATTGACAACTAAAATTATGTGAAATGTGACAAGCACGTTTTTGAAACGCGCTTCCATCAATCGCCACCGCTTGGGCACTGAATTTATTTTTTAATTACAGTGTCGTGCTCATCTTCCCTAGCCATACATGCCTTGTCCGAATTGTAACATTAATGAAATGTAGACAAAATGAAACCCAAATTCACATGAAATGCATGCAATGCAATCAAACATTATATATACGACTACACCCCCAGAAGCTCAGTCTACTTTTAATTATATTAATGAAACTTACGTAAAAAAATTTGTTTTCTTACTTGGGTCGCCGGAGAAACAATATTCCGGCAACCTGAGATATAAGTTATTAACCGGATTAATGGCAAAGGGTCGAAAGTTGACCACCAGTCGGAGTGAAAGGTTTTTAGGGAGTTTTGGTTACAATCGGGAGCAAGAAACAGTCGCCGGCTCGTCGGAGTTTGGAGAAGATGAAGTTTGGTCAACTTTTGATAACACAGTCAACGCTGATAATCATCTGGTCAATGTCGAGTGGACTTCAGTTGCTGGTTCCGAGAGTAATGGAAGCTTCCCCGGTTACAGGAGCCGCAGTCATGCTCCACGCGCTGCCAGCCACGAGCACCACACCCACCGCCACGTTGGAGGCCTGTCATCCGCTTTTGAGGATTCGAGTTCTACTAGAATCGCGCATCAGTTTCGAAGCCAGGATAACATGGCGGAATCTCCACGTGGGGGCCATATAGCCACGTCGGCTCCAGTTAATGTGCCAGATTGGTCGAAGATTTATCGAATCAATTCGTCCGAGTCACTTCACAACTCGGATGATGGGTTCGAACATGGTGAATCCGAATTAGTCCCACCACACGAGTACTTGGCACGAAGCCAAGACATGGCTGCAAACTCGATGTTTGAAGGTGTTGGTCGAACCCTTAAGGGACGCGATATGAGCCGAGTTCGAGATGCAGTGTGGAGCCAGACTGGGTTCCACGGCTAATTATAACAAATATGGTGTCTAATTACCAAATATCTCCTTGTTTAGGGGATAGAGATCATTGTTAGTGGCCTAATTAAAGTGCCTCAAGTGTGTAATATTGTGGCTGGTGAATTATTTTGAGCCCAATCCTAATATTTAGTTTAGAAGTTCTCTTTGTATTTATCTCTATTGTAATGGTAGAAGACTTGGGTTCCATGAAATATTGACACGCTTAAATCAAAGTGCTATGTATATAGCCCCCTTTGGTAGCAATTTTTCACTCAAAAAAATCGATTTTTTTATCATTATTTCACTATTTTTGGTTTCTTCATTTACAGGTGGGACTCACTTTTCTCTCTAACGATCAAAAAATAAATTCTCATAATAACCATTGAACATGCACATAATCGGTGTACAAGTAGAAGTATATTATCGTGGAATCAGTCATGCGGTCAAACAACCCTCCTCCAAGAAGAATTATGCTATCCCACCCCCCATCCCTATAGAGCGAAATAGCTACGTGATGATCCGTACGTTATAGCACATCCAATAGTTAACTCCTCATGTCGCTGTTGTCGTTTTCAGGATCGATCGATATGCTTTAGGGATGAAATTCTTGTAATCACTCTTCATTTGTCTCGAGGTGAACCTTGAAAATTGATTATTACATTATATTATTTAGCTCTTGTTTGGTCCCCATTATAATAAGAATTTAGGAAAAATGTATTTTGAAATAGTAATTTTTTTTGAAAAACGTTTGGTTAAAAAAGAAGACAGTTTTGAAATTACGTGTAATATTATTTTATTGGAGAATGTATGGTTTATAAAAAATAAAAATAAATAAAAAATAGAGGAAAAGATTTATAATTTTTATGGGAGCCAAACATGAGCAATTTCACCCAAGCTTCATCTTGATTATGTGACAATTGTCCTATGAAGACTAGCTTTCGCTGCAACTTCAGTGGTCCCTTAACCTTGTGGTTTATGAGTTGGTGGCTCATTCATTTGAACTTGAAAAAAATATAATCCTAAAATAGCTTGTAAATTACTCCAATATTATTGGAAGTCCCATTGCAGTAATATTGAAAAGTGACTTATGGATTAACAAGTGACAATAGCTTGGCCGGCCTTTGGTGTCTGCTGCCGCACCACAGTTTTCTTCTCAATCAATTAAGAACATCACGTAGGATAACATAATCAGACCGAACAAAGAATTCGACAATATTGAAATGCTAACTAGCTAAGAATTTAAGAGATTTTGAGAATATATGGCAAATAAGAGAGATAAATTGGGAAAAACTTGTTTGGCCAGGGTTAAATCCCGAACAAACAACACCCCAGCCAAACAGCACGGCTCAATAGATTGAAGCTTAGTGGACAACAAAGTGAAATGGAGAAATGATTGGAAGTAGAAACTAGAAAGAGGAGGTGAAGGGTGGACACCTTCTGCCTAACCTTTTTCAAGAAAGGGATATTTGACTGGGGTCATGTTTGTGAGGTTGCGATTATATTTCTTCTCCAATTCTGTACCATAGCATTTAGGATATCCGTTGGGCTCCACATATGAAATAATTCAGAAGGTTACTAGGAAGACATTTACCCTTTCCTCTCCTCTTATCATAGCACCAACACCAATGACTTTGACAACCATCACTACTTTTTATCTTCCCCAAGTGTCTTTTGCTAACACGTGAAACTTAATTATTGTCACTGTACAAAACCAATACGCAAATCGACCTTTTAATTTTACCTTAATTTTTCTTATAAATAAGAAGTTGTCATTAAAAATTCTATCATCATAACAAACGAGAGAGATTATCACTTTTTTCATCATAGTGAATTATTATAGCTAAAGAAGAGGACGCGATCTCACATTGAGACAAACCTATATAAATCTTACTTATGCTTTCTAATTCGTGTTAAAAGAAGATGCGAATACAGAAGATGATAGGAAAATTCCGATTTTAACATATAACTCAAAACACGTAGACACATGATAAAATTAATGTTCGACTGAACTAAATATTAGCCGTGCCGGCCGGAATGGGACGTGATCAAAATGTTCAACATCCACACAATATTTAACTGTGTACGAAGTATGAACAGTGAATTAGGCATGAATTTATTGTCTGTGATTTTGAGACAACATACACATTTGTAAAGCTTTATGGACAAGTGGGCATGAGAAAGAAAAGTAATATCTGTTTCCCAAGTCACTAGAAATTACTAGTATGCCTATGCTGAGGTAAAAGAATTTCCTGCCTCACAAATCATTTCTAGGAAAGGACCAAAGTGACCAATACATTTCACAACTTACCAACTCAAATGTATTTCTTATAAGGCAGGGGAGAAATGAACTTATATGGGAAGCATAACCAGAGAGGTTGGTTTAGTACTTATACATAATATTTTGCACTTTATTAACTAACAAAGACGTGTAGACCATCATTCTTTACAACCCTGGAAAAGGGAATTTGTATTTATTTTTTTAAACTGGTCAAATTTACTCACTATCTACACATTTTGTACGACGCACAACTTATTGTCCAATTATTATCCATACTTTTTTAAGATCTAAAGCTTATAAATTAACCTTAAGGGTTAGCTCAGTGGTCAGGTCTTGAATTTACTCCCCTATGGTCATCAGTTCAAATTCTTTCTAGGCCATTGAGGTGAGTACCCGACTGTAAACTTCAGGGTCCCGTAGGATTAGTTGAGGTGCGCGTAAACTAGCCCGAAAACCCACGGTCAAAAATAAAAATAATAAATAAATAAATAAACCCAATGCTTATAAATTCATAAAATTACAATGCAAGTTCTCCTCGATTTAATGAGATCAAATGATCCTATATTACACGAATTATAATTCTAAAGCTTCGATGAATTGTTAACAGTCCTGTAATTGAAGCAAAGTGATATTGTCACATGTGGGTATGTCTTGTAAGTTGAATTTGATGCTACCCTGACTAAATAATCTGGGGAATAACACTTGCCTGTCAATAAATATGTTTTATTGAACTAGTATTTGTAATAAAAATAAAACAATATTTTTTGAAGAATTTATTTATTTTTCAGAATTTCTTTGCACAACGCGAAAAGAAATTGTTATTATAAGAGAATTCGAACAGTTAGTGGAATATGCTAAATTAGAAGACATGGTTGAAGAAGCAAAATGCAGCCATGAGGATAAAAATGTCAAGCCACTAATCCCTTGAGGAGAATTTTTCTGTTCTACATCCATCAAGGGTGCTTAAATATGGAGGACTCTAACTTCTATTACAGCGTCAAGGAATTGAACCGTGTTGAATGTACTGTAAGAACTGTTGTAGGGGGACAGTAGAGAGAGTAGTAGTATACAAGTGTTTGTAAGTTGGGTTGAATTAGTACCTATTCTATCTCAGAGGAAAATTAACATATAACAGAAAACAAAAACTAAGAATGATAACTTACGAGTTCCGTGCTAGAATGAGAGCTTGCAGTGAGTACTCTAAAGAATTATATCCAAATTAATCCTGCGGTGATTGATCTAGCTGTTTCTTGTACTCCAGCTCTTTTAGTATCACAATCTTGCTAGATTCACATCAATCAGCATGAATATCATCCATTGGATCTCTCGTCTCTGATTCTCTGTTTTCCTCAGGCCTTGCAGATGAAGACTTGGACGCCAATGTACGTCCGCAAATCCTGAAAATGAATTCCGTGAAATTAACAGCATTCACATTTCACTGGAATTAAGCAATAACAGAAATATAGAAACTCAGTAAAGCACTTGACACGTTACACAGTACTCAACCGTGAGGAGAAATTTCTAATTAACATTGCAACAGGCATGTTCAACATTGATTTTACAGAACATTTTAATCATTTTTGGTTGGTCCAAATATATATAAACTGAGTTGCAAAGCAATTGACTACGATCAATAAGTTCAGAGACATACGCTTCCAGAGCCTCGGCTTTCCTCTTGATTTCACTTGACAAGAGTATTGGATCTGCATTTTTGGGTAATGAATCCTGCTCTTGGGTTTTTTCTCGAAGCCACTGCTCTGCTTTATTGCATTCATCAATGACCTGCAAAATAAAAGTCACCACATAATTACTCTTTCGGCTAATCATATTATAAAAAAAAAAAAAAATCATACAAGAAGGGATCGTACGTCTCTTTCGCTGGGTGGAAGTGATCCTACAGACATGCGATACTCCACTATGCAGTTTAGTAGACTTCTGGTTGCCTGTGCCCTGGCTTCTTCCTCTTTGTATCGATGTTCAACAGGATCCACAATCTAATGAACAATTTTATTAATTTTATTTTATTTATTTATTTATTTTTTTCCCAGTGTTGGGTGTCTATAAATCTCAAAAGAAGTATAAACTTGAGTACTCTAAACAGGAAGTCAAAAGAACCTTTTTCAGATCCTCTAATTTCTCTGTATAAACACTTTCAGACTCATCATCTCCGTCTTCATAGAGCCATTCCTCAGTTTGTTGTAAATTATTGGAGATCCCTTCCCTTTCTAAATCAGTTGCAAAGCTTCTATACTCGTTCAAAATCTGTTCAAATGTTTTTAATCATTCTTAAAGATGTAAGAAACACTAAAGGCAATGAACTGAACTACAATTCACTTTCCACATTATAGAATGCCACACTCGAGATATCAGACTGAAAGACAAGGACATAGTTTTGGGAATCTTGAAAATCTTTTACATTAATGATTTCAAAAGAAGGACAAGTAAAGAAACTTCGGCATCTAAAAAACCCAAAACTTTAATTACCAAAATCATCAGAATTCGTCAAAATCTACATGAAAGGATGACTGCAATTATAATTACTAGAACAGAGTTCACAATATTAAAGAAAGGTGAAAAGGCGTCTCTAACAATATGCCAGATACTGCATGCTTCAAATGAAGCAGCAGCCGAAATTATAGAAGTGGGTTTACACATTGATCATTCTATAGCTTAAATTGCCCTGCTATTGTTTTTGAATTTCAGATCCAGCTATTTTCCCTCGAATAGTGCACCATGTAGGTTTTTGGAAAAAATAAGCATCAAGGAATGCCCAAGTTACTATGGCATTGCTGGTGATAACTTCTATATGACACAAAACCATAAGAAGTTTTCTACTTGTAGTGTCAGTGTGGCACTGACATTTTTTTTTTCCGCAGATTAAGTTGTTATACCATAATTAATAAAATCAGGTTAAATGATTTTATCCCAGGTAAAGCATAAATTTGTACCTTATTTCGTGCTTCATATACATAAGACTCCAGTGAATTTTTCTTATCTTTAGTCCTCTCCATCATTATGTCTCGCTGGGCCAACTGAAGCTCTTTTTCTTGGGCTTGAGAGAGTTCATGGGGTGTCATTCCGCCATATATATTCTCGTCAATGGTTATATCATGCCGTGTGACAGCCTGCACAAGGAGATACCAGTGCTTTGGCTTTCCAGCATACATGTGGAAAAGGTAACTACGATTACGAAACACCTCATGGAAATTTTAGATTTGAAACATAGAATGTAGAAGGCATCACTGTTCCGTATTTTATGATGGCTTGTGATTTAATATTAGTGAATACTTGCTTCAGAAAGAAAGAATCTCACTTGTTAGCTAATAATAGGCAAAAGCATAGAAAAATAGATTTCATTCTCATAAGATGGGTGTCTTGCAAAAGCCTAACTTTGAAACATGGGTTAGTGATGCTTGATGTGGTCATTAAGAAAAGAAGGCAAGAGAGTAAAAGGGTAAAAGATTATATAACTAGATGGTGGAAAATAAAGGGATGAACTTATGTTACTTTAAGGTTCGAAGAAGAGTAAACTGGATAAAGATGGAGTCATTAACTTGACGTAGAATGTGATGGTTAAGTGCCAAATAAACCTTGTAAAGAAGGAAATATGAGAGTTTTAAGGGTAGAAAGCCACTTAAGGAAACATGATGGCAAAACAAGGAAGTTCAGATTGCTTGAGTCTAAAAGAAAATGTTAATGATGGCAATAACTAGTCTGGTTTGCTTGGAAGTTGGATCACAGTTTATTCTGAGCCGTTCTAAAATGGATTAACCACAGGGGATCACCAATGAACCAGTGTGATTATGTGCTAAAATATTAAGCATGGAATAAGAGTGTAACAAAATTTTGCCAACTAACAAGACAATGATGAGCATTTGCAAATCTTACTCAACACGCACAGAGTTGATGTATTTTTAAATGAAGTTTCTCTCTCTTTTTTCCCCCTTAGTTCAGATAAGCATAAAAATGTTAGTTAACATTACACATACAAGTCAGTGGTTTATAATTCAAAATTGAGGAAAGCTATGGTTTATAATTCAAAATTGAGGAAGCTTCTGTGATGCTCGGGCTCGGGTATGGGTAAGTATTTAAGTGTTGGATTTTTTATTTTCTGAAATGTAGGATACGGAGACATAGCTGAAAAGAGTCCAAATTTCGGTGCATTTCTCAAACTTCAATTTTTTCTTCAACAATTCACATGTAAATAGTTAAATGATAACTAAATGACAAATTGTTAAAAAATAGAACATGTCACTTAAAATCAACTAAAAATTTATACTAAAATAATAAGTTATTGTATAAATATATACTTCCAAAAATTAATAATAAGTTTTAAGAGTTTTTTTTTTTTTTAATAAAAAATAAATGAGCCAAACAAAGTCATAAATCATAAGTCTACATGCATAGAACTAAAAGTCTATTATTAACCTAGAAGCCTAATAAAAGACCAGTTATTAACCTAGAAGGTCATTATTTTCCATTCACTTTCTCTCTCTTCGATTTTCTCTTCCTTCTCTCTACTCCGACCCTCCACATGCTTCAGCCACGCCGCCTGAGGCCTCTTCTTCCCTGGTTATGACACCACCGAACCTCCCCCTCCCTCCGAAGAGCAGAAACAGTAGAGAAGAAAAGGGAAAGAAAAAAGGAAAGAAGAAGGGAAGACCTAGACGCCACTCTCCATCTTGTCGTGTCAAGTTGAAAGGACAAATCTTCTTAGACAGGGCCACATAAGCCCTATCCAAACAGGGGGCCTAATTGGCACCCTCCTATTGGAGGGGGTGCCTGTGGGCCCCGCACCCTGGACTATCCATCCAGCAAGGTCCAAGTTGAAAAGTGTTGTATACGTCCCATATTTCATACCCGTACTTGTATCGTGTCGATATGGGTACTCCGACCGGAATGGAGAGTCCGAACATCACAAGCTACAATCTTGAAAAGTTGTGTAAGGGTGGTCTTGCGAACAAGATAAATAGCAGAAATTCTTAAGGGTCAAAGCACATTAATTAGTGCTACATTTAATATCAAGCAAGCCAACATTTTCTCTCTCAAACATAGTGGAGAGCTTTAAATGAACCAACTTGACAATTAATGAAAATTTTGAAAGATCATTTGTTTTAACTGAACTTACAGCAGCCCCATTTGCTTTGCTGGAAGATTCTTGATTGGTTGGCTCCATCTTGTCTGAGAGAGTGCCATCATTCTTGTTAGTAGAATCATTCGAATTATCCTCCACCAGCTGCCAAGACAGTACAGCTTATACTAAAAATAGGCATCTCATTTTCCATAGTCCCTAATAACTTGATAAACTTTAAAGAATTACAAATATAACTTATACCTACCGAAGCAGACTCTATGGTAACAATTCCATGGAGGTTTAAGTTGACTCTTACTTTAATCTTCATCTTTTCCGAATGAGGAACTTTGAATGGACCAATCTAAAAAAAAAAAAAAGAAAAAAAAAGAAAAACAAAAAAGAAGTAGTTTGTTTCAAAATAGAAGTCAAGCAACAATAAAAGCCTTACAATAATTAATTCAAAGAAATTTATGCAAGACGGGAAAAATGGAAAGCTCAAACTTCGATAGGAATTCTGTACGAATCAATTGGTTTTCTCAATTTCATCGTCTTCAAAGGTGCTACCTTTCACTTATGAGACCAGATTAATGTAGTAACATTATACCTACACTAGAGTTTGATACTCCCCAAACATCCATGGTACCTTCAAATAACTAATTTATTAAATAATTTCCCCATTTATACGAAAAAATTATTTGATTTTCATCTATAATACAATTGGTTTAGATCTCTGTTTTCTTGATAACAATGTATCATGACAATATGTTATTTGTTAAAATTAATGATCCAGAATAAAGATATTCCTTATAAAGGTTTTTTTTCTAATGTGCAATGTTTCTGAGCAATTATCTTCTGCAAATTAAAGCCACGACCACATGGTGAACTATCTAAGGTTTGAAATCCAAAGAAGGAAAAATAATTTTTCCCCTTACAGGGAAGAGTTGTGTTTCAGGTCAAGTTTGCACATTGGTCCACTCTAGGTGCAGAAACCATAGAAGAAAACTGCACAAAGTAATCCATATATACCGTAAAAGAGCTGATTCTTGTAGATACACCTGAAGGCAACTCATTCTGGTCCGTGTAAAAGGCTTCCATGTGAAATGTGCCACTTCGGTGCAAAGTAAGCATCTTTAGACTTGGAAAAGGATGCAGCTTAGGAAACAACGTGTCATTTGTCACTGTGCAGATCGGCCCTTCATTAGAAGCAAATCCAATAGAAAATGGAAATGAATCTTGCACCTGCGAAAGATGCAAACTGTCAAATGTAAGGGAAAAATAATTGAGCAATATCCCTACAAATGCATTCAGGAACATTTTATTTGTGAAGATTTTTACTTTTCCATTCAGTATAAAGGATCTCAAGGTGCTGAAGAACAACATGATTATGCTACTTCTCTCTCAAGTGAGATCTTTATTCTTGGCTTTACAGATTGACATTCATTACAAAGAAATGAATGGGTCATCTATCAGATAATGGCTAGAGTGGTCCCATCCATGCTCTTATTATCTCGTACTTTTTCAAAAGGAGCTACAGCTCATGGATCAACAAACTAGTTATCACATTTAACCAAATAGTGCAGCAACAGACTATTTTTTCGTTTTAGGTGGTTACGGTTTGTGTGGGCAAGTGAACATGGTAAGTGGGTGTTGGGGTGTTGTTGTAGGGGTATTTTGGGAAGCTAATTCAGAGTTGTTTCCTAAGTTTCTATGTACAGAAAAACCAATCTCTTAGAGCATCTCTAAGAGACTCTTTAGATATGGATGCTCCCTACTTTAAAGAGAAAAGTTAAAAGTTAGTTAAAATAAAAGATAAAGAAAAGTTAGTTAAAATAAAAGATAAAGAAAAATAATAAATGTTTTTTGGAAGTAATAAAATTAAGTATTAAATATAAAGAGCCTTTTGGAGTCCTCCAAAATTTTTACTCTCTAAATTTATAGATGCTCTCTAAATTATAGAATGAGAGTCTCTTAAAAATGCTCTTAGGAACACGAGTGCGCAATTGAGCCAAAAGGTCTTTCTAAATTGTTTGAACTACATAGATTGGACACTTACCAGGCAAACACCATATTGAAAAGTTTCGTAAATAGTATCTTCTTCAAAAAACTCATTAAGAGCCTGTTTGGAAGTGATTTTGAGAATTGATTTTTTGATCGTTGGGAAAAAAGTGGGGTCCACCTGTGAGAGAAGAAGTCAAATATGACAGCTGGAATAGTGAAATAACAGTAAAAAAAATCAATTTTTTGGGAGGAAAAATCGCTCCCAAACAAGCCCTGAATCTACAGCTCTTCGATGTTAATAGGAAAAACATGACAAATGGTACCCACTAAAAGTTATGGCCATAATTATAATAAACCACGATGATATAGGCAAAGAAACAACAATTTTCTTTGATACAAATTGCAAATTATATTTATTATCGAGCATTTTTCACCAAAAGTGGTTGTTTCATCTATGTATTGAATTATTAAATGACATACTTTTGATATTATCTGATCTATAGATTGAATTATTGCATGACGCACTTATGATATTATCAATAATTTCCCTCTGAAAATTAATGTTTTGGTGCAAAAATTTCAATCTGTCATCAATTTCTTTTTTTAACCTAACAAATATTTGACTTACAACTGAACAAGTAGAAATTTTCTAGAACAATATATAAGAAAACAATTGTGTATACATTCATGACATTTCATCACAAGAAGTTTTCCTCTGCTCGCAACATGAGAACCAGCATTTAATACCCCATCAATTTCTTACACAAATTCCATATAAATTTGTTTGTAGGCATCACAATAATAGAAAAGATCAATTATCATATCCAAGAAATTATACACATCAAATTTATATCTTACAAATGCGTACTAGTTTGCTACATTTTAAATGGTGCATTACTAAAAATCTATAGCACAGTCACAATCATCTCTAGGGTCATTAGTTTTAAGAATGTGTTATGGCAGATAAAGTATATGGCAACTGATCATTACAAGCCCCATAGTATCACGTATCCATCATGAAGATACTATTAGAACTTGAAAGAGAACTTCAAGGTCTAGTCAGCTATTGAATCATATCATTTTATCTTACAGGTGTTTGGGCACACACACAAAAGTAGTTTGTCTAGGAGCTGGACTTTTTTAGTACATGGTAACCAGTGAATGACATAGTTTTGGATTTGCTCGTCTCGTTTGCTGCCCAGATTCTTTGGTCCCCTTAAATAGTAGGAGTTCTAGTCGTAATGCTTAATTGAGTTATATCTTCAAAGGCTTCCAAAAACGACAGCAAAGGTTGATCCATAACTCACATTATTCAGTTATATAGCACTTCAAAGTGATCAAAAGGACATGTTAGAGAAACGACCAACTTATTGACCATTGTCAGATCTAATGATTAAATTTTCTGTTATTTGCAATGAAAACTAAAACAAGTTTTCAGGGAAATGGGGATATCCATGAAAGATATACTGATGGAAATAATTTTGACTGAGTTGAAAACTGAAACACATACCTCATACTCTCTTACTCGGAATATGGGACTAAGCATTGCACATTGAAGGGCACAACCACGAGCCACGCACTCACTTGCATTTACAGTCCGGCTAGGTTCTTTCCCGAACAGTGAGTTCAATATCTTCGAAATGGCCGGTATTCGAGAACCTGATCCAACAAGCTCAACTGCATGGACCTTCTCAAGAGTCAAACCAGAGTCAAGCAAAGCCTTACGACACGGAATGCTAATCCTTTCCAGTAATTCCGACGACAGGTTCTCAAAATCCTCTCTCTTAATGAATCCCTTGACATCCTTCTCTTCCATCAAGCACTCAATATTAAGCAGTGCCTCTGGATTAGCACTCAAGACTTTCTTCAATTTTTCACATGACACTCTCAGCCTTAAAGATGCTCGAGCATTAGAATAAACGTCAATGTTGTATTGTTCCTTGAATTGTGCAGCAAAATACCTGAACAGGACCTCATCGAAGTCTCTTCCCCCTAAGTCGCTATCAGAAGCATGAGATAATATTTTCATATGCCCAGGTTTAAATGATGCAACAGAAACCTGCATATCACAATGACCAATATCCACAAACACAACATTTGCCGGACCTCCACTTGGGAAGTCTGTCTTGTATATACCGTATCCCAGAGCAGTAGCTGTACAGTCGTGCATCAACCTTAATGGCTTCAAGCCGGCTATCTCTGCAGCATTCAAATATGCACGTCTCTGCATGTCCGTTAAGTACGATGGCACACCAATCACACAATCAGAAATGGATATCTCAAGATTCTTCTCTGCGATCTGCTTTAAATGGGCAAACAGCATTGCTAGAATCTGAACCGGTGTAAAGGTCTGTTTCTCGTTCATGTAATTTAAATTTATCAAAATGCCCCCATCAGGATCCTCCGAAGTATCGAAAGGAAACAGTTTAAGGTCATCCTGCACACTGGGCTCGCTATATTTCCGTCCTATCAATCTTTTAACCTGAGAAATGGTGGATTTCGGGTTCGTGGTAGCAGAGGCAGCCCCAGCCGTTCCCATAAACCTCTGCTTTTCACCAAATGAAACCACGGACGGAGTTTCCCGCTTTGATTCATCATTTAGCAATACATCAATTCCACGTTGCATAGCCGCTCCTATCACACAATTCTCATTTCCAATATCAAACCCCAACGCACTCATCTCTAGCTAAACCAGACTCAAAATCCTAAAATTTTCAACCTTACATGCAATATTCAATGCTAAACCGTAGAATTTGGGCCTGCAAAGAATAAATTGTGGGTAATAATTAGCTTATTCTTTCCACAAAATAATAAAAAACGGAGATCGATATAAAAGAACAATTCAGATCATAATAAGAAAAAAAAATAATGCAATACGATCAACTGCAACATTCTTTTAAATATACAATCACAATTAGATAACAAGGGTTCTAAATTTGCAGCCTTAGCATAGTGAGAATCCAATACCCGACAAACCAATCTAGAAAAATCTTGCGAAAGCAAATATGTACGTTAGCCTCTGGTCTGGGAGAATAAAGAGAAAAAATGGAAACCCTAAAAATGGGGAGTGGAAAAGGCTGTATGGATTTGAAATACAAAATTCGATGATTTACAATTCACGCCTAATTTCTTATTTTGCTTTTTCTCTTTATCGCGAGAGTTGTGATATCCGTTGTTAAGAGTCAATGTTCAATTTAAGAAACGTGCACACAGCAAAAAATGCATCCATGTCCATATAATCTTTGATTATTTTTAGCTCATAGTTATCAGACTCGACCCATTCACTCGACTGTAGACACAATGAGTGAGCGGTTCAATAAGTGAAGATAAAAGGAAAAAAATGTCCTAATTTGCAAATTCATTTGATAATTGAAATAATATACATTCTAAAATTCTATCTATTTTATAAAAATTAAATCAATGATCTATACATGTTTTTCATGTTTTCTTTAATATTTAAATAATTTATTTGTATGAATATTCAGCACTTTATTTATTTTCTTTTTTTCTGAAAATTCTGTTCATTATATTTTAAATTTGGCAATGAAAAATATAGCATGTTTAATAATTAATACACTTGAAAAAATGAGCCCACGTTTTGATTTAGCTAAACAGTTAATAAAATTTAAATCAAGATCAACAATTAATTTTAAGTACATATTTCATGACATCAACAATTTTTGTTAACTTTTCAATCATAAATTTCATTAAAATTTACTAAATTTATAATTTTTAATAAAATCAAACAAGGGCTAAACATTTTGTAAGCGTAATATTCAAAATTTTGAAAATATTTTATGTAATTTAGTCAATTATAAGATATGTTTCTAGGAGAAAAATATGTTAACGTGATTTTCAACATGGTGATGGTAGCTCAATCGGAGAAAGGTACGTTTTCCATGGTCTTTTGCTCGAGACATGGATAATGCATTTTGCTAAATTTTAAAAATATCTAGTGGGCTATCGGGTAGTTTTTACTTCAGCTGCTTAATTCTTCAAGTGGGTCATCGATAGTTCAATAGTAAAACGATCCAAATATATTGATCAAAACAAGGTCCGATTCTTTGATTTCCAATCAAACTTCCAGAATTAATAACTATGCTTGGTGCATTCAGCGCGGGGAACATTAAGCAATACAATGGACGAAAGACACATATTGATGAAATGAGGCCCCATAGAGGTGGCAAAGTGATTGCTACATCTACTTTTGTTTGCAGTTTTTGATTGATGATCCTTGTGCAGGTTTATTTGTTGACGGCATTACTTCTACCGTCTCTATTTGATGGCCTCGATTATGTCAGGTAAATCGATAATGTGAAGTGTGGGTCTGAGGCAATTTGTCAATTGACTATCACGTAGAAAGTGAGTAGAGCCTCATAGGATGAGTTGTGACAATCTCCTTCAATCTTTTTATTTTTTTTTAATAGTTGACAATCTCCTTTAATCTTTAATTCATAGAAGGTCACTAATTGAAGGGAAACGTTGCTAGGATAATTGTGCTCTGTCTTATGATATCTCTCGATTTTTACTCAAGTTGTTGTTCTTCGATTTTGTTTTCCTAGATATTAGTAACTTGTTTTATTAAGTAATTTTCTTATACCTATCGGCGATGTCATGAAAACCTCCATTTTTTCTTCTGTGAACCTAGGTTGTCCGATCCCTTTATTGTCTAACATTTTTTGAGTTCTTTGTTGAAGACCGAACAATGTAATGTTTGCATATTACAGTATTGTAAAAAATAATAATAATAATAATAAAATAAAAATCCATGCTATAAAAGATCATTTATGCAATTAAAGATATATCATATATGTATGTTTTCTATCACATATACAAGCAATTCTGCTGTAGAGTGTTATAGATAGAAGACTCCCCTATCAAACTAGGGTTATTCTTTGCTTGGATCCCGACGTCCATAGCTTATATTTTCTGAATTAAAGAAAATGAAAGTTCCAACTAACTGATTTTGAATTTTAAAATAAAGAAGCAGTAGCTAATGTGACACAATTTTTCCCTGCATGGAAAAAGAAGTATATATTTATTAACCACGAAATACAAATAATTTTAATTGGCTCAATCAAAAAATATTTTTTTATTAATGATCAAAATTAAATATTTAGAATTTTCAAGAAAAAAAAAAGGTAAAATGACTTTGATATTATTAACCCAGAATAATGAATGCCTAGAAAATTACAGTAAAATCGAGCCCTAATTTAGCGGGAGGGAAAAAACCCTAGCCCTAATTTTGATAATAGCTCTCAGGGATCTCTACCAGATTTTTGAGTTTTGGGCTGAGGTAAGTAGTCCCTAAGTCTCTTTTTCTTTTTCTTTTTTTAACAATTTAATGGATCCATTTAATTTAAATATATTTCTGTAATTGAATTGCGATTCAGTTTCCGTTACCCCCAAATCCAATTTCATTTTGCAGTCACTTATTTCCTTTACCCAATCACTTACTCTTCATTAAGAGAAAAGAAAGAAGCTAATTTGGAAATGCTGTTAATTGAATGGGTCATTAATTGCTCAAATGGTTAGTGGAAATTTTGAATTTTTTTTTCTGATCGCCACCAGATGGACATAATTTCCCAACTACAAGAACATTTGAATACGATGGCATCCCTTGCATTCAATACCTTTGGGACACTTCAAAGGGATGCCCCTCCTGTTCGTCTGTCACCTAATTATCCAGAGCCTCCTATTACTAAGGCCGCAGAGGATGATACTGCTGATCTTGCAGAGCAACCCAAACTCATGAGTGCCGACTTAGTGAAAGCTGCCAAGCAGGTTTGTTGATTAGTCCTAATTTGTGTGTGTGTGTGTGTGTAATTGCTCAGGTTCTAATCATTTAGTGAAAAGATGGAAAATGCGTCCACAAATCTGTTGTATTTTCATTTTTTTTGTAAAACCTGAGATGGCTTGTTTCGAGAATTATTTTTGAACTGACTGATCTTTGTGCAGTTCGATGCATTGGTTGCTGCACTTCCATTATCTGAGGGAGGGGAAGAAGTTCAATTGAAAAAAATTGCAGAACTCCAGGTTCGAGTTACGAGTTCTTTATCTTCATTGCCAATTACTTGATAGTACTAACTCATTTAGCTCCTAAATTTGGATCCAAACACAATGAGATCTATTGGATGGGAATCGAAATAATTTAATTTTCCGCTGTGCATGTATAAGTAGATTCCCAACAAGAATCTCACACCTGGTCCATGATAATGCCATTTCAGGAGAGGTTTATCAGGCTCAGATTTTGAAAATAGCCCTAACTCAAGAATTCAATTCGGAACTTATTCAGAAGATTCGACACTCGAACTTCGTCATGTTGGATGGAGCCCCTGGAGATACCAGAGCGGAGGGAAGGCCCCAGCTTTTAAATCCAATTTGTATTTTTGTTTTATATATAAAGAGGAAGCCCGCTTCAAAGCTTGGCCAACTACTTCCTATACATCAGAGACGAGTGCGGCTTTCCAATATGATGAGAAGGAAGTCTGACTGGTACAAAAAAAAAAGTGTGAATTGATGGAAAAAGAAGTATATATTTATTAACCACGAAATACAAATAATTTTAATTGGCTCAATCAAAAAATAATTTTTTATTAATGATCAAAATTAAATATTTAGAATTTTCAAGGAAAAAAAAGGTAAAATGACTGAGATATTATTAACCCAGAATATTGAATGCCTAGAAAATTACAGTAAAATCGAGCCCTAATTTAGACGGAGGGAAAAAACCCTAGCCCTAATTTTGATAATAGCTCTCAGGGATCTCTACCAGATTTTTGAATTTTGGGCTGAGGTAAGGAGTCCCTAAGTCTCTTTTTCTTTTTCTTTTTTTAACAATTTAATGGATCCATTTAATTTAAATATATTTCTGTAATTGAATTGCGATTCAGTTTCCGTTACCCCCAAATCCAGTTTCATTTTGCAGTCACTTATTTCCTTTACCCAATCACTTACTCTTCATTAAGTGGGAAGAAAGAAGCTAATTTGCAAATGCTGTTAATTGAATGGGTCATTAATTGCTCAAATGGTTAGTGGAAATTTTGAATTTTTTTTTCCTGATCGCCACCAGATGGACATAATTTCCCAACTACAAGAACATTTGAATACGATGGCATCACTTGCATTCAATACCTTTGGGACACTTCAAAGGGATGCCCCTCCTGTTCGTCTGTCACCTAATTATCCAGAGCCTCCTATTACTAAGGCCGCAGAAGATGATGCTGCTGATCTTGCAGAGCAACCCAAACTCATGAGTGCCGACTTAGTGAAAGCTGCCAAGCAGGTTTGTTGATTAGTCCTAATTTGTGTGTGTGTGTGTGTGTAATCGCTTAGGTTTTAATCATTTAGTGAAAATATGGAAGATGCGTCCACAAATCTGTTGTATTTTCATTTTTTTTGTAAAACCGAGATGGCTTGTTTAGGGAATTATTTTTGAACTGACTAATCTTTGTGCAGTTCGATGCATTGGTTGCTGCACTTCCATTATCTGAGGGAGGGGAAGAAGTTCAATTGAAAAAAATTGCAGAACTCCAGGTTGGTGTTACGAGTTCTTTATCTTCATTGCCAATTACTTGATATAGTACTAACTCATTTAGCTCCTAAATTTGGAGGGGCAAAAAGGCATTCAAGTGAAAAAATGTAGCTGCTAGGTTTTGGTATTTTGATGAGAATTGAAATTTTCTCAAAAGTTGGAGACATGATATCTGGTTATTGTCAAGGTTGCTGATATTATCCCTAATCTAACAATGTTGTAAAGGCTGAAGATGAACAATCTCCTGATAATTGTTTTTCATTTTTGTCGATGTTGGGTAATGTACATTTCATAGAGATGTCCAAATCTCTCTTTTGTTCATGTAATTGGTAAGTATTATCAAGCTTCACTAATCTAAAAAAGAATCTCTCGGCAGGCTGAAAATGACGCAGTAGGCCAAGAACTTCAAAAGCAATTAGAAGCTGCAGGTAAGATCTTCAAACTTGGCGTTAGTGTGATTAGAATTACAAATTCCGCCAGGTTAAGATTCTACTGAATAGTCTAAGAACTTTTACGTTTTTGCATGATATCAGGCATTTTGTCAATTTGAGTTATTCTAAGACCTGAAACTTGATGCTTCATGTAATGGTATCTCCTTTTGTCAATAGATTAATAACTACACATGTAGAGTTGCATGCCTATGCTGAAATTACGTGTGAGCAAATGGTTTATATGGTACGTTTCATATTGGTTTGGATTTTTGGGTTTTATAGGAAGCATACGAGCTGAATTTTGTTACCTAAACGGTTAAACCTAACTGAACTTTAAAAAATTGCCTGGCTCAATTCAACGTAATTTTCGCCTGTTTTTCCTTAAAGAAAGTAATTTTCAAGTACTCTCCAATTCCAAAGCCCCATACCCTTTTGCCCCTGCCACAGGCCTCGATAGCGCCTGACCGTAATCTTCAACTCTTTCTATATAAACTCATAATTTAGTACTATCTGTTGATTACTTGGTTTGTTTCAGAATCTAACTGAACCAGAACTATATTTGTTTATTTGGTTCAAACTTAAGGAAACCATACTGTAAAAACTAAATAAAGAAAAAAAGAAAGTATTCAGTTTTATATTAAGTTGTGCTCAATCTTAGCTGAAACTATGTTGCTGATGTGCCAGAAAAAGAACTAAAGCAGGTGCAGGAGTTGTTCAGCCAAGCAACAGATAACTGCTTGAACTTGAAGAAACCAGACTGATGCAACGGATACCCCAACTGGATGACCAAGAAAATAGAGCGGCGGTTTCACTCGTCTCTGTACCGTAGTATATGTTCTTGGTCAGTCAGTTTCATGATTATCTATTGAAACTGTCCTAACTGAGAAGCATAGTTCTCCGTAATGTGATAAGCCTTGAACCATATGATGAAGCGCTAGTTACTTGAACTTTCAGATTTGTTATTACACTGAACCTATATCGGAACTCTGATGATTCTTCTACACATTAGTCCATGGATTAGCATCGTCCAAATCAATGATTGTTGCAACGGCCATTCAGAGGTTGCACCAAATCCCCAGCAATACTGTACAAAAGGATACGAAAGGGACAATTTTCATTTCATATCAATTCAATCATAAAGTCACACTAATTACCACCAAACTGAAATTAAGGTTCCATTTTAAACCTCAAAAGTCGGACACGTAAATAAAGTACCACTTTACAGCAATTCTCGAAGCAACTCGGCCAGAAACTCTCAACTAGAGATCAACGGCCAACAAAAGCATGATCCGAACTTTATAGTGTATGGACGAAAATGAAAAATAAGAGCAAGCAAAAAGTAAATTTTAACACCACCAAAATGAGCCAAGCCGACCTAAATTCGGTTCAACAGACAGAATTAAAAACAACTATAAAGCCAATAAGTAGTTCCTAAGACCAAGCAACAGCCGATACTGCAGTGGAATAACTGACAGCTCCTCTGTTCTTCACTACTTCGTTCACAACGGATTACTGCAAAACAGATTATTATGTTGTTACTATATAAATCCAATACCACGTAAATATAAATCAAAACAGTGGGCAGACCTTAAATAACGACCAACCAAGGGAAAATGTGACAGATAAGATTCAAGAAATGGGAAAACTAGTCAATAATCAGCATTGCATAAATGTAAATGTACAGTGTTCAACTAGTCCTCCCTCCCATGCAAAGTATGTTAATAATGATTTTCAGGTAAAAAGGGTTTTCCCATCAAATCTATAGGCATATCTACCTGAGGTGGTTGTTGAGGGGGCGGTGGGTAGTTTCCATATCCTTGGTAACCTCCGTAGTACAAATTTGGATCCTGAGCTGCTTGAGCATATCCATAGGTTTCATATCCAGGGGCATATCCATAATATCCAGCATTGGACTGGATTTGATCAACCTGAGCTCGAAAATTTGAATAGATGACTATGGTTACAATCACCATTAGTGAGAACTAATAAACCTGTTCTAAAAATAGGAAAAATCGAAAATCGAAAAATGAGATTATTTGTACCTGTTTGTTTGAAGGACTACGGCCCCATGAGAGTCTAATGCTTTGTCCCCCCAACTGGGTTCCATTTAACATTCGTAAAGCTTCCTCAGCACAGCTTCTGTTATAGCAGATGCAGAGAACATGATAAATCCTTCATACTGATTTCTTGGTGTTTAAATTAAGTGTGTGATGAGAAGGTAACAATGGTAATGTCCAGGTTACCTGTCAGCAAATTGAACAAATCCACATCGTTTTCCTGCTGGTATTTTTACATGAAGTAACTGTCCATATTGGCCAAAAATCTGCCTCAGATGCTCATCTGTGATATTAGAGTCCAAATTACCAACAAATATCTGCAATCAAGAAATAAATTAGTACTTAATTATTTAGATAAAGAAAGCATACAAAATTATTGTGAATAAAATTACTCACAGTTGTATTAGTAGGGTCATCCTCACCCTGTGTTCCTTGAGAAGTCTGGTATGAAGCTGTAAATACACAATAAGTGTAGGTGAGGGAAATGCTAATGAAAGGGGAGTTGGATAGGAGGAGCCGACTGGTGCTGATATTAGTTTAATACAAAAGAAGAGCAGATTTTGAAACAATGCAGTACATCATGATATAAACTTTTGGAAACGCCAATATAAAAATGTTTATCATCAAAACCATGGTTTCATATCAACAAAACTCAATTCAGAAACTGTTAAGCAAGCAAAGTTCTAACCAATCTTGCGACGACGATGGCAGACGACAAAAAGACCTTGAAAAGAAAAATTCCACTTGCTGCCAGCTCAGACCAAAGAGAAGATTGCATACACGTTTGTGAAAAAAATAATAACTATAGGCAAAACTGAAACTTGGAGCTGCCCGTTCAAACAATTTAATGAGTATAAAAAATGTACAAGGATGAGCATCCATATTTGGGTAACAGAGAGACATTAAAATCCTCATCCTCTTTCTTGGCTACGTCTGCTAGGTAGTGCAACTTTCAAAAGGATTTTAATAATGTACTGCAAATCCATGGCCTCCATCTCATGTTGTGTTTATATTTCCTATGTTTGGTGTTATGATCCCAAGTTATGGCACTGCTAGATCAATAGGATTTTAATAATAATAATAGGATTCTTTTGTAGAGAAACGCCACGAGTAAAAGACAATGAACAATGCTCTCTAGTGTTTGGATACACATACATACATACGCATCTGACATGGTGAAGAAGCTAACTTCTTGCTGATAGAGGCACTTTCTCGCCAGTTTCAATAACATCGTACAAAATACAAAAACATATATCAATATCCCACTATTTTTGCTCCTCATACACAAGATAGAGCAAACCCATATTTCTGTACCAATGAAGCTGATATGAAGGAGTGTCAACAAACCACTGTTGATCCTAATGATGAAAGATGAAGTAAAAAGAACAAGAAATGGGAAAACTAGTCAATAATCAGCATTGCATAAATGTAAATGTACAGTGTTCAACTAGTCCTCCCTCCCATGCAAAGTATGTTAATAATGATTTTCAGGTAAAAAGGGTTTTCCCATCAAATCTATAGGCATATCTACCTGAGGTGGTTGTTGAGGGGGCGGTGGGTAGTTTCCATATCCTTGGTAACCTCCGTAGTACAAATTTGGATCCTGAGCTGCTTGAGCATATCCATAGGTTTCATATCCAGGGGCATATCCATAATATCCAGCATTGGACTGGATTTGATCAACCTGAGCTCGAAAATTTGAATAGATGACTATGGTTACAATCACCATTAGTGAGAACTAATAAACCTGTTCTAAAAATAGGAAAAATCGAAAATCGAAAAATGAGATTATTTGTACCTGTTTGTTTGAAGGACTACGGCCCCATGAGAGTCTAATGCTTTGTCCCCCCAACTGGGTTCCATTTAACATTCGTAAAGCTTCCTCAGCACAGCTTCTGTTATAGCAGATGCAGAGAACATGATAAATCCTTCATACTGATTTCTTGGTGTTTAAATTAAGTGTGTGATGAGAAGGTAACAATGGTAATGTCCAGCAAATTGAACAAATCCACATCGTTTTCCTGCTGGTATTTTTACATGAAGTAACTGTCCATATTGGCCAAAAATCTGCCTCAGATGCTCATCTGTGATATTAGAGTCCAAATTACCAACAAATATCTGCAATCAAGAAATAAATTAGTACTTAATTATTTAGATAAAGAAAGCATACAAAATTATTGTGAATAAAATTACTCACAGTTGTATTAGTAGGGTCATCCTCACCCTGTGTTCCTTGAGAAGTCTGGTATGAAGCTGTAAATACACAATAAGTGTAGGTGAGGGAAATGCTAATGAAAGGGGAGTTGGATAGGAGGAGCCGACTGGTGCTGATATTAGTTTAATACAAAAGAAGAGCAGATTTTGAAACAATGCAGTACATCATGATATAAACTTTTGGAAACGCCAATATAAAAATGTTTATCATCAAAACCATGGTTTCATATCAACAAAACTCAATTCAGAAACTGTTAAGCAAGCAAAGTTCTAACCAATCTTGCGACGACGATGGCAGACGACAAAAAGACCTTGAAAAGAAAAATTCCACTTGCTGCCAGCTCAGACCAAAGAGAAGATGGCATACACGTTTGTGAAAAAAATAATAACTATAGGCAAAACTGAAACTTGGAGCTGCCCGTTCAAACAATTTAATGAGTATAAAAAATGTACAAGGATGAGCATCCATATTTGGGTAACAGAGAGACATTAAAATCCTCATCCTCTTTCTTGGCTACGTCTGCTAGGTAGTGCAACTTTCAAAAGGATTTTAATAATGTACTGCAAATCCATGGCCTCCATCTCATGTTGTGTTTATATTTCCTATGTTTGGTGTTATGATCCCAAGTTATGGCACTGCTAGATCAATAGGATTTTAATAATAATAATAGGATTCTTTTGTAGAGAAACGCCACGAGTAAAAGAAAAAGGTTTAATTTATAAATAGATAGAAATGAGTGGTGTATAAGTTGATCGTACTTCTGGGTCTCTTGGAATGTATGGTTAATAATGAAATTTGACCATTTTTAAATGACTTATAAGCCTTTCTCGCCAGTTTCAATAACATCGTACAAAATACAAAAACATATATCAATATCCCACTATTTTTGCTCCTCATACACAAGATAGAGCAAACCCATATTTCTGTACCAATGAAGCTGATATGAAGTAGTGTCAACAAACCACTGTTGATCCTAATGATGAAAGATGAAGTAAAAAGAACAAGATGTGACATTACAAAAGATAATGAAAATGAACCAGCAAAAACAACCTGAAGAACACATTATAGATTGGTTACATAACATAAACAACTGAGACCTGCATGCTTTAAGCAGTTTCAACTTACAACTAACCTTTGATCATTGCACACTGTCCATGGTGAGCTTTCTTTCACAAGGGTAAATTCAATGGTAAGTGTATGAAAATAATAAGAGAAGGGAATAAAGCAATTTTAATTAAAATGTTAATGGCAGAATGAAAGTAGTGCAGGGAGATATTAAGTAATTCTAGTGGCGGAATTTTAAATACGAAACTGAAAGAAATGGCTGGAACTAAATGTATTTTGACTGAAAGCTGAGAAAGCAAAGGAACTGGCTGAGGAAAAAAAATACTGAAAATAGTAGCACAATTATTGCCACGGGGAGCCAAAAGTAAGAAACATTAAATTAACACTGACCTAGACAAAACCTGGCACTAAAAGGGTTATCATTTCAGCCGAAATTAGCTCCAGGCCCCTATATGATAGAGCCTCCTGACATCCTGCTTTGAGACAACCGGAGTTTTATGAGATTATGCAAGTTTTAAGTTTCAAAGCTGAAAGCTTTTTAAGTACTTGAAGGAAATGGCGTCGTAAGCTGTGGAATCTTTAAGAATTCAAGAGCATAACTGAAAGGAAGCAAACTTAACAGCATCGTTCTGTTATTAACTCTTGAAAATATCTCTAAAACAAAAATCCACCAATGCATTTAAGCTGCCAGATTCAGGAATCAGATCACATCATACAAAAAAATAAAGACCAAATTCAGCATGTTTAAGCCAGTATGATGCTCCAATGGCCATCTAATTAGCTAACAAACATACCACAGGATGAAGGGTAATGCATACCTTTAGCCTGAACACCCACTTTTTGTTTGCTAGCAGCTGGGCCAATTCGCATGGGCCTGGTTGAACAATACCTTCCATTCATCTCAGCCATGGCTCGTAGTTGTTCGCTTTCATCACCAAACCTCACAAATCCATAGCCCTTTGTGCGTCCAGTTATTTTATCTGTTACAACCTTTGCACCCTTGACTGAGGAATAGTTAGCCCTAAAAGTTTCTTGGAGCATGTAGTCAGTTACATCAGCTGCCAAGTCTCCAACAAAAACTGTGTATTCAGGAGTATCATCATGCTTTTCACCAGCTCCCATAGATGCCCAGTTCAACCTGAATGTTTGCTCAGTGTTTGGCATCTGAGTGCCATTATATGTCAGCAGATTTCTTTCTGCGGCAGCATGACTGACAAACTCAATAAAGCCATAACCTTCTGATTGGCCAGTTTGCTTGTTGCGGATGACTTTAGCAGACACCACCTGCAAGAAATGTATTTGAAATTAGGCTCCAAAACCATGAACAAAAACTCAATAATAAGATCTAAGGGGGGACCACAGTAAAACAAGAGCAGTTTGATCAACACCACCACTCAAATTCCCTTTATAAGTTGGGAATTCTAGCAACACACATGGTTCCCTTTCTCCTAAGAAAAAAGGTGGGTTGGGGGGATGTTGTCACTGCAGTAGTGCATAGTGCATAGTGCACTTGTAGCATACACCAAAAAATTGAAGAAAGTCTTCACCAATGCAATTGGCTCACAAGACACAAGCAGTGTTGCCTTGAAAGAGATCATTTTCAATTTAAGCCTCCCTTTGGAAAGAATTTATAAAAGGTTTAATTTATAAATAGATAGAAATGAGTGGTGTATAAGTTGATCGTACTTCTGGGTCTCTTGGAATGTATGGTTAATACTGAAATTTGACCATTTTTAAATGACTTATAAGTTTTGCCAGATATAAAACAGCACACTACTAGCTACTGGGCGACTCAAGAATACAAAGAACTCACCAAATAAAGAATAAGACCATAATTTAAACAGTTACTGATTAAAATGGAAACAGAAACACTTGAAAAAAAAAAGCGAAATCTCATTCTACAACCCTCCATAAAACAGGATCTAATCATATTGCAAGAATTGAAAAGCTCTTCTTTCAGAATAAACAGCATCCATAACCGTCTTCCTTGTCACTCTCAAGAGCATGAAATATCAAGCATCCAAATGAAGACATGACCAACAAAGTTACAATAAATCATCTGGAAATTTCGTTTATTTACATATTTTCTAATACAAGTAAAATCCTTTAGACTCTCCATAGAAGACTGTAAAACAAAGGCAATGATTGTCAGTCAAAGTGTGCAAGAGCGGATAGAAGAGATGAACTTGGTGAGTCAGGTGCATAAGCATGTCATAGATAGTTAATTTCTCATATGAAAACAGACTACTTTTTGATGTACTGAAAATTGAATTCCATCAATAACATACTCCGCTTCTTCTATTATCTGATTTTTAAAATGAAAAGCAAATTACGACAAAGCATGTGCAACAGTTATAGCAGAAGACTGCAAGTACAGAAATCGGAGTTGAAGATATCTATTACGAAATAAAAAAAACAGATAAAAGTAAGAAAAATCCATTAAATAAGCACTAATAATTAATATGTATGTATGTTTAACTATGGTCGGGGTGAAGGGGTCTAGGTCTTAGTAAGTCGGTATACGTCTCCACGTAAATATACCTCGCCAGTCAAAGCAAAACAACTGTAGATGTACTGCTCATCCATCCAGTATTGAAGATCTCCAATCCACAGGCTCCGGATCCCGTCGTCGGCTGGAGCCTGAGCCACAGGCCCGACGCCGTACTGCTCTGGCTGTTGCGTCGGCGCAGCCGGTGGTGGTTGCTGATAGTAGTACCCAGCCGCCGCCGCTGGCTGTTGCGGTGGAGGAACCTGGTACTGCGCCTGCTGCGTCTGCTGTGGCATCCACTGCTGGGGTCGGTACTGGGGAGGCTGAGCCATGGGCGATGGAATCATAGAGTTTGATGGCTGCATCGTTGTCGTAGCCCTAGGTTTCGAGAGAGAAGAGAGGCTGAAATCAGAAACGATGATGAGAGAGAAATGAAAGAGATTTTAAAAACCTTCTCGCAGATTCTTGCACATATTGACATATATAACTAATTTTTTTCCTTATTTATCGCAATGCAATTGATTTTAATTTTTTTAAAGAAAATTCTTAAAACGTGTTTGGCTCATATTTATAATTGGAAAATTAGCACAAAACGTCCATACCTTTCAATATTTTTGTGAAAAATGTCTCTACCTTTCTTTTTTTACGGATTACACCCTTATCTTTACCTTTTTTTTTGCACAAAACGTCCTTATGTAAACTTCCCGTTAAAATGCTCCGTTAAATCAAAACGTAATTAGTACAAAAGATCCCTACCTTTCAATATTATTGTGTAAAACGTCCATACCTTTCATTTTTTGGCATAATTAGCACAAAAGATTCCTACCTTTCAATATTATTGTGCAAAACGTCAATACCTTTCATTTTTTAACATTTCCACCCCTACCTTTCACATTTTATTGTGTAAAATGTCATTTTCATCCATTTTTTCAATAAAATGACAAATTTACCTTCCTATTTAAAAAAACAAAAAGAAAAGATGAATTACCAATTGCAACCATAGTCCTTAAATTTTTAAAAAATTACAAAAAAATCATAAATTCTCAACTACCACCACTTCCACAACCTATTAAGCTGCCAACTATAAATCCATATAACACCACATTTCGCCGACCATGCCCATCGAATTCCACCACTGTAAATGTGGTTGTTTCGGACAGATTATTGACCAATACTATGGAGGAGAATATTGGAGAGAGTGAGACGAGATTGGTGGTGGTGGAGTCCGATAGGTGTTGTGGTCAAAAGATGGTGCTATATGGATCTACATGTAATGGCTTGGTGGGGTTGCGAAAGTAACAGTAGTGGAGAATTTAGAATTTATCTGTAATGTTTTGAATGATTTAGAACTATGATTGTAATTAATTAATTATTTTTCTTTTCTTTTATTTTATTTTTGTTTTATTTGAATATGAGGGTAAAATCATCATTTTATTGAAAAAATGGATGAAAATGACATTTTGCGCAATGAAATGTGAAAGGTAAGGGTGAAAATGTTAAAAATGAAAGGTAGGGAAGTTGCACAATAACATTGAATGATAGGAATTTTTTGTGCTAATTATGCCAAAAAAATGAAAGGTATGGACATTTTGCACAATAATATTGAAAGGTAGAGTCCTTTTGTGCTAAATACCCTTTGATTTAACAGAGCATTTTAACGGGGAGTTGACAGAAGGATGTTTTGCGCAAAAAAAAAGGTAAAGGTGAGGGTGTAATCCGTTAAAAAATAAAAGGTAGGGACGTTTTTCACAAAAATATCGAAAGGTGGGGATGTTTTGTGCTAATTACCCTTTATAATTTTATAAGTACTTGTACATTTCGGAAGATTTACAAATAATATTAATTTATTCATTTTAATTATATTTATAATTTAAATAGGCATTTTATTAATTTCTTGCGTAAAAATATAGATTCTTTTTTGTTTAAAAAATAGAAAAAAAATCTTTTTCTATTATATATAAAATTACTTATAAGTACAAGATGTGAAGCAAACATATGCCAATCCTTATCAGTAGATCTGGACTCAGTTTGACCGCTGCCTTCTTTCAGACAGTAGAATTGGTATGAACTCAAACATATAAACACACGCAAACATTTCCTTTTAATTTACTGGTAAATTGTTCTTTTCATCTTGCTATTACGCCTTGAGAATTCAACATCAGCTTTTTAGTTTTACTTAAGATTTTTTTTTTTTTTTTTTTTTTTTTTTAAACTGGAAAGCAAATTAGGGAAGAAAGGGTCATATCTTTGAGTGCTGCAAATCTTATATGTAAGTCAATATGGATGTGCATTTAAAGAATTTGTTCTCTAGATTTCAAGAACAATTCGGGTCTGGCCCGGGACTCGGTCCTGGATCCGGAGCATGCCTTATGAAGGTGGATGGCATTGCACCACCTTTCATTAAGTCACTATATAAAGCTGCGGCAGCCCTGTATAGGACTGATCCGTGGAGGCGGTTGCGCCCGGGCCATCTTTTTGGTGTTAAGGCAGGAAAGGATTCAGATTGGTATGGTAGAAAACAGCCATTTCCATGCATTCAATTTATTGGGGGAGATGGTGGAGATTTAGGGTTTCACATGTTTAAGTCTGAAATTGATGCAAAGAAAATGACAGGCTCGAGGGAGACGATTAGGGTTCCGAATGTAGAGCTTCTGAGAGTGACTTTCGAGGCGGAGTCTGTGATGTTTCCTTCGAACAAGAGAATGATCAAATCGTTGTCTTTAGAGGTGTCTGGTGAAAATCGGTTTCCGGTTATTGATGTGGCTCGATGTACTGAATCTGGTGAGATTCAGTTTAGAAATCCAACGCTTGAAGAGCTTAGATTTGTTTACGCCTTTATGAAGGCGATTTTGTTACTGCACCCCCTGCTTCGACAAGATTTTGAAACAGGTCCAAAGTGGTCTAGATTGATAAGTTTTCAGCCATTTATTGAAACAGTTGATGTTCAATGGCCTGCAGAAATGGCCAGAGGGAACGATCTTGTTGCAGTTACTATCTCACACCCTCCCGGCCATGGGTATGAGGAAAAGAATAGTTCAAGAGGATTTGAGGATAAGTATAGTTCAAGAAGCTCGACTCCTACGAAGTATTCAGAATCGCCAAGAGAGGAGACATTTTATGAAGTCGAAGTAAATTCAATGATTAGCTTGAGGCAATGCTCAATGTGCGAAAAAGAGATTGAAGAGGAGCAATCACTTTGTTGTGGACGTTGTCGTGCAGTAATTTACTGCACTTCTCTCTGCCAGCAGCAGCACTGGATTGTAGCACACGAGGACACGTGTGGACTTTACAAGGCAATGATGGAAAGGGAAGAGGAGTTGGCAATGAAGATCTTCACGTTTGATTGTTCAGTCGAACAACCCTGCAAATGGCTCGAATCACTGGGAATACACCGAAAGGGCATGTGGAGAAGGAAATGCCATTGTTATTCTCACTGTCCATTTGGCCTACTTCCTGTTAAAGATGGACTTTGGGATTCATGGGGTAGCCTAGATGATGGCGAATATCCTCATGATTCACCTTTCGACAATAATCTAAGGGATGGACTGTTGAGCCCAATAATTCTTTCTGGTTGGTTTGAGTACTATAGCCTTCGCTCGCTGCCACTCTCAAGCCCTGTGGCTGACATTCTTTCTCACCCCCTGACATTATATCATATACTGACCGCACTTAACATCAGTTCTAAAAATCTTTTACTCAAAGGCAAAGAGGTGATCCTTCATTACCTTGGACCCGAAGGGGAACTGGATTGGATTCCAGCATTTGCTGAAATCGGTCATTTACTCAATGGTGTTGGCAATATACAGATAGCTATGGTAGGACCTGGTGTCCCAACAAATTTGTCCGGGACAACTTCCGGAATAAGTAGCCGAGTGAGGGTAAACCTAATACAAGGTGTTTATCAGGAGGTGGCCACCTACCTTCCTACTCCCCATCTAATTGTGGCTTTAAATAGTGGATTAGAGACCTATTCAAGTTGGGGTGGAGCCCTTGACTTGATAAAGTCTATGAATACTCCAGCTTTTTTCACGGAAGAGTCTGAACTCTCATGCTCTAACGCAAAGCAAGGGCTTTTCGCTGCTGGGCTTTATATTAGCTATCCGGTGACACCAAATCCTTTCCGTTCTCCGGTGAGGAATTATGGGCCTTTCAACAATCTTCCGTCATACAGCAATGGTTTCGTGTTTGGAGTAAATACGTAATCTACAAGTTTGCAGGGATCAAGCAGAAGTTTCTTGTTGTATTTCCCACTTTCTGGTTTTCAGACAACGGCACTGGATTGGTATCAATATACTTAATAGATATCTGTATTTTGTATCTTACACTGGTCTTCGGTCATAATCAATTCTTATTTTCCAAGTATTGTTATGAAATATCAAACTGTTGAATTGTAGGTAACCAGTTCTTAAGCAGTTTAATTTTTACTTTCCGTTCTTGTTATTAAGTGCATTTTTGGATTGGCTTAACTTACGATTTAAGTTAATCCTCCTCTTTATCTACTTATAAGTTAAGCTAATCCAAACATGCTATAATTATGCTGAACATACGTATGAACCAGGAGCAAATAGATGTTGCCAGACCCACTTAAGAAAAATCCCTTCATTGCACGTGCAGTAGCGCATTGCCAAACACGCTCAGGCACCGTAAAATGAAATTCCATTGAATACGCATCGACGAGCATATGCAAGAGCGCCATCAAATCAATCATCAGCTCCAGGAGCTTAGCAGCCTCTCTTAATCTTCTTTCTGCCTGCTTTTTTGCCAACGAGCTCTGAGTATAACTGCATCGAAACGAAACCAAATAAAGTTACGGGGAAGATGATGTCAATGTTGCTAACAGAATGCAATATTGATGACACATGGTGTCATGTTATGTTGGACTGAATAGCAAGGAATATGATTAAGGAAGTAAAACAAGTTGAAATTTTGTTTGAAATCCCAATTGGATAAATAAGGTAATCTGGCCCCAACCCATAATAGACTCTTCTCGTCTTTTTTTCTTTTCTTTTTTTAAAAATTAATTCTATTTTTTACACGCTTTAACATCCTGTGATTGTCCAAGATTGTGGGAGTGCAGAGTGCACTTCTATTTGGCAGCATTGGTTTCAACCCCCAACCTCCACCCCCTCGCGCAACCCAAAAAAATGAAAAAGAAAAATAGAACACGGCAAAATGTTGAAACCAAATTAAGAGATCTATTACGTGCATCAGACGTGACGTGTAATAGAGAGATTAAGAGATCTATTACATGCATCAGACATGACGTGTAATAGAGAGAGAGAGACTACAGTTTTCAAATACTTTTCAGTATTGATTTTTTTTTTTTTTTAATGTTGAACCCCAATCTTGAGGGTCTCTACCGTCCCGTCCCTAGAACTTTGTGAGGGAGGTAAATCGTGGGATGTGCTCCTGCAGGCCAGGAAACAAGAGCTGCATGTACATTGTGCCTACAAAAAATCCAATTCCAAGTCTCAGGAATCGAACCCCCACACTACGGCTGTCAGCATGGCGTAAGATAACTCCACTCCTATCCTTTGCACCACTGGACTATGCCCCGAGAGGCTCCAGTGTTGATTTTTTTGTACTACTGAACGTATGCATGGCTCTGGGCTTTATCCTTTTGCCTCAGGTTCTTTTCGGGTTCTATGTATTCTTAGTTAGAGTTGGACAAAATTTTCGAATCGAACCAATTGCACTGTATCAAACCGAGCAATTCTTCTTAAGTTAAATACACGAACGTGTATTTAAATTGAGAACTGACAAGTTTGATTCGATTCTAGATCAAGAATCGAAAAATCGAATCTCCCTAATTTTTTAATTAATTTATTTTAAATAAACCAAATTATTATTATTTTTAAATAAATTTGTTAACTAGTTAATTTAATTCAAACTAAAAAAATATGATTTGCCTATTTTTAATTTTCAATTCAAAACTAACTTAATCAAGTTGACTTAAATTTTATTCAAATCTGTTACTTTATCGTAGTGCCGTTTCTACAGCTTTGGATAAATCAAATTAAAACATCAAAACGCCTATCTTAATTATTTTGAGCTCGCTATCTTCATGTTCCTGTGATTTTAACAATCAAATCTATGAAGAATTCAACAAATAAAGACGCAAAAAATATATAAGATTGAACTACGTTATTTTGTAAGAACTAAGATTGAACATATCATTAGTTGAATTAATGTAACTTTATAAATACTAAAAATTTAATTATAATACAGAACGTGAGAATCCAACCTAACCGAACCGAAATCCGAACAGTTCCATAATTAAATTTGGACCCAACGATTTCGTTTACTAAATATTCGAAAATTTCAAGTTTAACGGGAGCCCAACCGAACCGAACCGAATCGAACCATGTCCAAGCCTACTTGTAGTAGCTACTGCTTGGCTGGACCTAAAATTTGCATTAACGTTAGTACTATCTTGAGACTAGTTATTCAAGGCTTTGGGAATACATATTTTAGCATGGAGTGACATCCGTGAAATGTTGGCATCATTAGTTCTTTTAGTTAACAATTGAAAGGTGATGCTACCAAAAATTTGCATTTTTAAATACTCGAACTTGACAAATGAGCACGAACAAGATCTCTCGAACCTGAAACAAAAGCGTCGAGGTCCGTTTTCGTCTCTCCTCCGATGTTTTAAGTTAGCAAGAAGGAAAATATGCGAGTGAGGCTACGAAGTAAAAGTAATGTTAAAAGTGTATCATAGAGACAAGCAGTGCAATCCTAACAGTATTGAGTTACTTGAATGCCTTATCTTGTTTAAGAGTCCTAAAAAACGTTAGTTCTGCATAAGGCGGACGTTGGAGTGAGATTGATATTCGGCAGAATTGATCAGATATGTGGACATACCGCCATCACACCATCTGGCCATGCCAAATTATAGCTTACAATTCCCTAGTGGAATGCAAAATTACAGTGATCCTGGATGTGACCCAGGCTTGGGATTGATAGGAATCTATACAATTTCACTTGAGCTGATGTAACCATTTCCCGAGGCCCCAAGCACTGTAAAGCTTTACAACAAATGGGTTGTACTTCAACCCACCTAATCACCTTGCAGGTGGTGGATATTATTTATAAACGACCAAGTACTCAAAAAGTTCCAATCTAACAAAATCTCCACATTACAATGATGAATAATTTCATCACGTGCTAACTTCCATAAAATGCTGGCAAATTGTGAACTTTTTCCAACCCACAAAATCAAAACAAGAACTGAATCTCTCTCAGCTTGAGCTCCATATACATACAGGTAAAAAGAACTTCTGAGGACAAGCCACTCCAGAAAAATAAGACATCTGGATTCCAGGCTCCACTTCAATCGCTTCAAGGTCACTAATCTCTAAACTGGAACCTTGGGAACCCAACTCAATACCACTGCCAACAAAAACGATCCATGGCTAGCGGATGGGATGGTATTGAGCTGATACTCTTTTGGGAGGTAGCTTGCGCAGTATGAACAACACAAGTGCTGAAGGAAGAATCTCGACCAGCTGTTTTTGCATAAGCTGTGTGTGAACACAAAACTAGGGAAGAAAAGGTTGGCAAACTTGATAAAAGCAGTTTACCATGTAATAGATGAGATTCAAAATTGGATGGTCCAATACTTCAAGAGATGCATCTGCGTCGAAAGCAGATAGCCCAACCTGCAGAATGTTGCAAAATATAGGCTTCATAAAATCAATAAAGAGTGCATCTAAGAATGTAGTACAAAGAGAAGTATATCACACAGGAAACTAAAAGCATGTTTGGAAAAAGTTTATAAACAGTTTTGGTTATAAATTGACAAAAATGAGTTGTGGATAAATGGGACAATACTTGTGGATCCCACAAAATGTGTGGATAAAAAGTAGTTTAAATGTTTATAAAAATGAGCCAAGCACAGGCTAAGATATGCCCCAGAATTCTAAAAAGTAAATCCAATTTTCCAACTTAGGATTGCTTTATGCTTTTCCACGTCTGTAGATGTCTGGGAAATTTATTCACACAAGACTAATGCATGAGAATTCTGAGTAAAGAACTTAAAATGACAGCAACCACGTTTGCGGACTTATGTCAGGTGAAGAAATCGGTACATATTGGCCTACAAATCCTTTCCCTCGCAATTCCCTTGTAATTAAGAAAATATACACTAAACTCCCACGTCCTACACCTCACAAAGCAACATTTACGCTGTACTCCAATAAATTCAATAAATAATAAACGTCATCTCATGCATAGTTCTATTTAGCTTGGTATACTGAACTCTGCCTAGTGCCAAAATCCTAAGAAGCTCCAGGCAGTCAAAAGTGAGAAAAAAACATGCCAGAAAGCACTCAATATGGCTTCTGGATGTGTGCTATTTGTTTTGTTCTTAATTTTTCTAATAAATTTCTTAATCAAAATTTGCCTCGTTTTCTCCCTATGAATCAATTTTTTTCATTGCCAAAATTGTTCAAGTTCTATAGTAGCCATGATACAAATTGAACCCTAGATGTACAAGTAGATAATGGACAATCTCCACCCAAAAATAAAAATAAAAATGTTTGTTATTAAAATTTGACACATGTTAATTCTATGTGCAGTCAATAAATAATTAGGACACTCGGAAATAGCGACAGAACAATGCGTGTTATATGGGGATAAATCAATAATAAGCAAAAACTGTGGGATGCTTCCCACGGATAATTAAAGAAATGATGGGAAGTTAAGTATGCCTGAAAGTCTGAAACAAGTACTGTTGCCAGAATATTTTAAAGATTTCCGAGAGAGATTTTCATTGGGCACTCTTTTAACTTATTGGACTACTCACCCTGGAAGATAAAAAAAACACAACAATTAAACCACCACCAAGTCATGAGTGCTATTTTTGCAAACTTTGGTTTCAGAAAGAATATCTGTTAGCGGGCTCTTCTTCACATGCAGAAACACTGAGTTTGTTAGTGAGACCAATGCGAGCATCCATAAAGACAAGAAAAATCAGATTCTTTCAACAGAGCAAGCACTTCTACTACGTCAAATAACCAAGTGAGAGGCATTTCAAACCACATACCACAAAGCATCTTATAAGAAAACAAGTGAAGCATATAGCCGTCACAAATCCAACCTGCAAAAACAAAATCCAATCATTTCTCATTGAGCACTAGAAAGAATGAGAAGGATAGACATTGAAAGTGAGAACAAGTTACACAAATGAAAAGCATGTGGATTAATATCATGAGGCTACTTTAAATAATTACTAAGCTAATAAACAACTGGAGAATAGCAACATCAGCTGATAGACAATATTACCTCCCAACAGCCATCACCAGATTTGGAAAAAATAGTAGTATCCTAAATAGATATGCAAATTGTGTATCTGGACCAGTATTGTAAGTGTTTTAGTTTGCCATGTATTATCTTCTGATTGACAAGCTAATCAGAGTCGATATGTAGGGAAAAATTTTCCCATTGAGACCTAGTGACCAACGCTAAACAGGCAAATAAAAAACTGTTTTCTATTTGATTTGAAACGTAAGCTAATTAAATGTGATGCATGTGTGGTGTGGTATTACTTCTATCATTTTACATAACGATAAAAATTTCAATCCCAAGTCTTTTAGGGTATAGAAATTTGTGATTGTGTCGTTGAAGAGACCTGCTAATCAAATATGCTGAAATTAAGCGAGTCAAATCATCTGAATGAATTTTAAGAGGTATCAATATTGACTGATTTTCCAGTGATGTAGACTTGTAATTATGCAACACACTATCAATGCATACACATTGAGCGATAAATTATTATTAGGTGAACGTTGTTTGGTCCACAGCCAGAGAGGCCATAAGACAATCTGGATGGTTTTGTCAGAGAAACTTTATATATCGTTTGGATATTGTGTAATGCATTTTTCTTATCAATAATTTATTGACTTATCAAAAAGTAAACAAAGCATATGTTTGGCAGCTGTTTATAGTTTGTTTATAATTGATCAAACATCTTTGTATCCAAACATACTGTTGGACCCACAAATACTACCCACTTACCCACCATCTATCTATTTGAAATGATTATACTAACTCCCAACATGCTTTTTAATGAAACAAAAATAATGCAACAGAGCACATGTTTGGCAAAGCTTAAATTTGCTTACAAGTTAGCCAAGATCTATTTTTATCCCCACTTTCCTTGGAACTCGCAACTTATACCCACTCATTATCCACAATTTCATAGCACATTTTATAATCTAGTAAAAGTTTTGCCAAACATGCTCATAGTATAAAGAGTATGCAACTCTTTCTGATGTCAAATAAAATTAGAAGGCATAACCTCATGAAGTTTCTTTCTCCTCCCTTTGGACTCGATGGGAAAGCGTCTCAGCATGAAAAATAACCTGGAATAAGAAAAGAGACGAAATTGACAACTGATGAAGTAACAGAAAATTCGAATTCAAAACCTCAACAAATAAATTGGGAAGGATTAATTTGCTATGGACCATAACAGCAGTGATTTGAAAGTTTTCAAATACTCACCTTCCTCCATACAGCAAGAAACCTAATGCTGCGACAAATGATACCACTGCAGAGATCAAAAGAGATGAGAAACCATATATATTTTGCACATAAATGATTCCGGCAAAAATAAATAAATAAATAAAAGAAAAAATTAAAAAGAAAAAGAAAAAGAAAAGCAAGAATGAATTTAAAAAGTAGAAAATAGAAATTACTAGGATGATATCAACCTGCCATAAAAATCTTTCCAATGAATTCCACGGCACTGCTGTCATCTATCCACGTGTACACCCAGATACAGACCTGATTTCAATACCTCTTTACTTATAGGATCATTTATCAAAAGCAAAATTTTAATTTCCACGTGACAGATATGACAACTGATGCAGGACATAGTAGAATAAAATAAAATTAAAGAAGCTAGTTTGGGAATTATCTGGTCACTTGTCCAGTCCTTGTGTCTTTTTCAAGTATCGTAAGTCCTTCTTGTGATTTCATTTATCTAATTTTTTGGTCACTTGTCCAGTCTTTTGTGTCTTTTTTTCAAGTATCTTCAAGTCCTCATGATTTCATTTATCTACTAGTAAGATGTACAACATTGTTGATTTGTTGTCTATTAGTAAGTAAGAGAGAGCTGGTTAAATTTGTTATCGTATTCCATGATTAGGACAGTAGAAAGTTTTGAATAGATGCTGCAGTATCAGGCTGTCATTAACTTGTATCATGTGTTATGTAAAATCGGATAGAGGTCCAATCTCAGGTGAATAGAGATCTTGAATATTGTGAGACACCACAACACTTGGTCACTAAAGTTTGTCTTCTACAGATATGATTTCATTAAATCGTTTATGATGGAATGACATAAGATTTCAGATTTGTCCATAGATGCATGATGCATCCTCTCCTGGATGTGATGCAGAAGATGCCTTTACAATTGCTAGGTTCCCTTCATCTCTTTTTTTCCATTTTTCTACAGTTCTCAATTCTCGCTGAACCAGACATCTAGTCTAACCTTTCGGCCTTTCCACTTAGAATTCTCCCCGAGCACATGCCCATCATTTCTCCAACTGAAACATGACTTAACAAACTTATAGTCCTTCAGCAGACGTGAGTATCTACCCCCCAAGACATCCAGCATATGACAATTTTCTTAGTTATAGCTATTTCGTGAGGGAATTTTGTCACGCTCACCAGTACACGAAGAGTAATGAATTGCACTTCGTTTAGCCAGACAGCCTTCATCTTAAAGCAAGGAAGGGAAAGAAAGATTGGCATCTTAAATCATAATATTCGTATTCTGTCCCCAGCATAAAAGATGTGTAAGAAATTTAACTTGAAACCGCTCCTACTGGACCAAGTAATCTAACTATATTAAAACTTTTTGCCAGGATTATTTGCAGTCCTCTTCTTCACTGACAAGAGGAAATAGATGAGAAGGTTTAAATTCTGACCAACTGATATCCCAGGACAAAGGTGGAATAGTTGAAAGAAGAAAAATGATGCAATATATCTTAGGTATAGAAGCAACATGACACAAGATTCAGGGAGTTGAATTTATATCATAAAGGCATTTGTAACAACTATTCAGGTCAGAATAGATTATGTGAATTTTTACAACATTGACAGTAAATATAACTCTAAATTGCATATATATGCGTGTATATATATAATGTTAACAAATCAAATAGTACTACTAAGTGAGGTTGCAGTACAAGTGCAATGCACCTGTATGAAGTATATTGCAACATTGACAGAAATATAGAAAATCCTCAGTTTATCAGTCGGCAAACTTCTAGCCTGCCAATAATCCGGATAAAGGGTTAGAGATTCCTCATTTACTTAACTGCATTCACAAGTGAGTATACTTCACTTTGTCAAGATATTATTTCAGGACAAAAAAATAAATAAATAAATCAGTGTCAAAGGATTCACAAGCACTCATTCAGTTGGTGGATAATTTAGTATGACTCTCTACTTACCTGGTGATATATCTCTGCCCAAAAAAGAACAAGAAGTGTATATGTTGAGAAAAACAGTAGCCCAGGAAGATCCAAGAGTATCAAAGTTAGTGCCTGATACAAAATGGAGTGGAGTTTCTTCAAGTGAATGACTAAGCATGATAAGTGGCCATGTGATGATAAATATGCAAATATCTGTCATGGAAACAGTTTAAATTCGTGCAACCCACTTCATCGCCAAATAACTATAGTGCAAACTCACAATAATTATTCAGTTATCCAGATTGTGCGTGCACCCATGCAACCCATACGCTGGTTCGGGAAAAAAATAGAAAAGAAATTCAGCTAGCATATATATGCTTGTGATCTGAATTTTAATGAAACGATTTTCACATAAATGATAATGTGATTTTTAAGTGTTATGAGTTCCCTCCGCAGATCTGCAATCCCCAAACAGGGAAATATATCTTGGGTCACTACCAACAGTAATAACCAAGAAACATATCATGAATTTCATCTACCATTCTTCTAAGTGAAAGCGAAAATATTTTGTTAGTTATCATAAGCCTGCGTTACATAAACCATTATAGTTTTATGAGAAATTCCTTTTAAGTAGAAACCTAGATGCGATGGAAACCGGGAGTAGGGCCAATACGAAAATTTAAGGTATAACCGTCAAAGAACTTCAGAGCTTGATTGATCAAACCCCTAATACAGTCCAGAGGAAACAAAATAATATTTAAAAATGTAGTTTGTCATAGTATCATCAAATAAATGCATGTTTCATGAAAAATGCTTGTACATCTAGAACACAAGGCCCTAGCAAGGATAGGGCAAAAAAAACTACATACAAAATAAACCAAGTGTAAACAGAAAAATTATAAAATGCATCTCAGTTAAGTATCAAGGTGAAGGAGAGACAGATATTACTATCACATAAATTTTAAGTTGTAAAATACAAATTTTTTAACCTACTAAGAAGCTTCAATCAAAAAGAACAGTTCGGAGGAAATAAAAGGAGCAGAGGGTGACTGGCCACCATCAAGCATAGAAGTTTTCATGGAGAAACTTACCTTGGGGTGCAAAAGAAAAACTTGTTTATGAAATCCAAGCACCACAGCACGCACTGAAATAAGTAGCTGTATAATTAACTAATGAATAGGAACACAAGTATAAGATAGCCAAGTCATTCTTCGATTTTTACCTCCATTCACAATAAAGTTCATGAGGTGGAAAACCTTTTGAGTAGTCCATCCATACTCAGGTACCCTTACTTCAATTCTTATTAGTTGAATCTGCACATATAAATGCCATAATGAGCTTAAAGGCTGATATGTAATAGTCCTCATAACTGAACAACGCCAAGATACTGAAATAAAATATGAAGAAGATTTAAGCTGAAGCAAAATAAATTCGAAATCGCAAAAGAATTAATAACAAAGTTTGAAGTTTTCTTCATCTTTATGACTAGTTTACTGATGGAGGGTATGAACCTAACTAAATATCTTAAAATAATAAAGCAAATACTTCTGCAATTATTAAGATTATTGGACATGACAAAATGTATGACAAATAATAACTCATCATGATTAGCCGGATCAGGGTTCTTCACATTCCTTTTTCTTCTTTGCTTAACTAAATGGAAGCCGTCAAAAATCAAACGATTTCATATTGCTATTAAGTGCATGCTTGTAAGTGATTATAAGCCTGTGGATCACAAAGAATGTGTGGTTAAAAAGTAGATAAAAGTTGTGGATCCGATGGAACGTGTCGTTAAAAATGATGTTTGACTAGCTTATAAGTACTTAAAAGCTTTGCCAAACATATATATATATATATATCCTTTTCATTTCAACTTATACTGCATTAGTTGAAGATAAATCTTCATGGTGCTAAGTAACCCAACTGCTGTATATTATAGATTAACTCAAGTAATGGTAGGTAAGAGCTCAACTCCCTTTCCGATGATTCTATCCGAAAAGCATTCAAGAAGTTAAAATTTTCAATCAAATTCCAATGCACCACGTTCTCCGTCGCCCAAAAATGTCACTAACAATAACAATTATTGAACTCGCTACTCGATAATCACGTCTAAGAAACAATCTCCAATTTTTTCATCTATAGAAATTTCAGAAAATTATAGATTTATCAAGAAAATAACATTTTAAAGGTACAACACGTACAGTATCAATAATGAATTTGCATACACCTAAAACAACATATGTATATATTTGATTGCGGTGAAATAGTCAATTGAGTGACTAACGAGGGCAACTGCAGAAACGAGAGCGTATGCCCCGCAGAGACTGAAAAATATTCCGTCCTGCCATTTGACCGACTCATTGATCTCATCCCACCAGTTCGCCGCCAGTTCTCCGACACCGAAGTCAATCTCCGGCAAGGTCAGTAGCATTCTCGTCATTTCAGCTCAGATCTCCTGCCAAGTCAAAAACTGTGAATTTTATCGAATCACACCACTACGAAACAAGGAGGCGCGTGGGCCTCTACATCAAATCTTGAGAGAAGAAAGCGATAAAATTATTAGTAAAATACAAAAACAGCATTCTATCTTCACGACCCTACAAGGTACCAGAAGGTTTAACGCAGCTGAGTTTCCCCTTCCACGAGACCTTTCTTTATTGTTCTGCGCCGTTAATTATCATGAATAAGTATAACGTTGTTATTTAGTCATATTTGATATTGATTTAAATTAATTTTTAATTTAAATAAAAATCAAATATTCAATATTAATCATATGATTCGTACATTTCAAAAATTTCAATTAAAATTCATTAAATGTCTAATTTTAATCCCCACCAATTTAACACATTAATTAATCTGTCGTGGATAAGAATTTTAATTAACAGTAAATAATTAAACTTCTACTTTACTAATTAATTAGACTAGTTAAGCTCCGGCGGGGACCCACACAGCCAAGAGGTGCTGGCAATATTTCAACTCAGATTTTTTCAAAATAATTTTTGTAAAAAGGTTTTTTTTTTTTTTTTTATAATTTGTGATTAAAAATTAAACAACGATTATGAATTCACGCATTAAATTATTTTAGAATTAAACTAATTGTACGTTACTTTTGTACAACTAATTTGACATTCATGTTTTTTATGCATCAAAAAATGTCAAAACTAATGTACAAAATGAATGCATGTAGCAGCTTTGATTATTTTATTATAAAACTATGTAGTAAAAAATGAATTTATCAAAAAATGAGGATCAGCAATGCTTTTGTAGGAAACTAGAGCATGTTTGGCAATTGGCTCTAAAGTAATTAAATAATTCAGCATATACTGTTAAGAGTGAGTTACATTTTTATTTTTATTTTTATTTTAAATTTTTTTGTCTTTGTTTTTATTTAGTTATATCACATTCTATTTTGCGAGATTTAAATACTATCGTCAATACTTTGATATAAGTTTCAGATATTCCTTTGAGCTATTTGTAACTAACCAATTAAGAACGTTCAAATGCTTCGAACATGCAATAGTTGATTTTTCGATAGCCCATAATTGTAGTGAGTGTTTATATTAATGACAAGGAAGACATTTCTATTAGGGAAAAGTTCAAAAATCAGGTGTCAAGTATGACACAATTCAATTTTCAGGTGTCAAGTTTAAAAATGCAAAACTCAGGTATTGACTAATTAATTAAATATATTTATTATTTAAATACAATAAGATCACAATTACACAATTATAAGTCACAGATGATTTTATTGGTCACATATTATGTCGAGGTCACAAATAAAAAATTCTACAGGTTACAGATTGTTTCGTTGGTCACAGATAAAAAAAAATTATAGGTCACAATTTATCTATCGATTACATATTTACAAATTTATTGGTCACAAATTATTTTTTAATCATATATTATCGAATTTTAAGGTCACAGTTGAATAGTCACAAATTTTATGGTCACAGTTTATCCCACGCTGCCCCGTTGTGACACCACGCACCACCACCCACAAATCCGCCACCGCCACTTGCAACCATCCTCGCCCTGTGACCGTCCCAAACACCACAACAACACCACCATCCCCATCGTCAACCGTCACCAACATTACCTCCAACATCCTGTACCAACAACCACCCACGTCACTACTATAACTATCACCACCACCACCACCACCACCAACCACCCACCGCACCCAACCAGATCTGCAATGCCCATGGAGAAACACTACCGACGCACATTGGCAACAGCACGCCATCACCATCGCGAACATCCAAGCGCGCGCGCGTGCACACACACACCACGCACACACAACCGCAACCACGCCATCACCGTCGCGATCTGAGGCACAACCATGACACCCATGCACACCCAACCACGATCGCAGCCTCACGTCGCGATCTGCGACACAACCATGCACACCACGCCACCGCCGCCATCAGCCTTCGATTACAGCAACAAACTCTCATATGTTAGCACCGCCACCATCAGCCTCCAATTCCACCGACATCGACGACGCTGCAACGAACTCTCAACAGCCTTCGATTCCAGCAACATCGGCCAAAGCAATTTCTTCATCGTCGAATTTTGTCTCAGATTTTACAGTGAGAGGGGAGAGAAGAAGGACCAGTTTTAGAGAGAGAAAATAATGGAGAGTTAGGGTTTGGGTGAAAGGAAAATTGATTTAAGATTTATATTTATTGATACTTGATTTATGAATAATGAAAGTTTGCACCTGAATTTTGAATTGTATTCTTTAAATCCCTGCTTTTGTTTAATTTCCTCTTTCTATTATGCTATTAATTTTCTTGTTAATATGCTAAGCCCATTGTAATACAAAAATCAGAAGATGAATATACCAAAAATTTTCAAACCATCATTAAGCAATTTGCAATTTTTGCTTTGGTAATTTAGGTTCCGTTTGAGCCCCATTAATTTGAAGTAATGTATTATGGAATAGTGACTGATGGAGAATGTGTGGTTAAAAATAAGAAAAATTCTTTGATTTGTGTGTAATATTATTTTAATTAAGAATGTATGATTGAAAATGAGTACTATAAAAAAAATAATGTAAAAAAATAAGGCTCAAACAAGAGTTTATTTTGTGATGAGAGCTTCGAAATAAGGAAACATTTATTAGAGGGACTCCTCTTTAACATTTATTAAATTAATAAAGTAAAAATCTATGAAACATAAAAACAATGAGACATGATCGGAGAGGAGGGTTTAGAGCATAAAATTTAGGGTTTTGATACTCAAATAGGGGCCGTGACAGGCCAATAGGCGCCCCCTATTGGAGGGGGTGCCAAATTGGCGTCTTTCATAGATACTTGTCACGGCCCTCATAACAATAGCACGACTCTTAAATTTATAAGTAACTTGTTTGTAAAATATGTTTTGAGTATTACAAGTAATTCTTCAATAACTTTTTCTAACTTGTTTGATTTGTTTATTTTAAGTACTATGAAAGTTTACTTCTTAAAAGTAGTCATGATCTTACAAACGTTTGCTTATTTTAAGATCGACCAATTAAAATTACTTTTATAAAAAGCTAATTAATACTTTCGAAGAAAATAACACAATAAAATTTTAGGTAATAAAAATAATGTTGACTTTTATTTCCTTCTTAACTTAGCCAAGCCACAATGTTAAATTGCACGTATAAATTTCATTTGAAGAAGATGACATGTTATTAATAGAAAAGTGGTTTATATTAGTTTAATCCATATATAAAGTGGACATATGAAAATATTAATTACAGCAAAAGCTCCAAACTTTCGAAATATTAGCAAACTTTCCTCAAACTTTTGTTTTGTTATAACTGTCGCTTAAAACCTTTCCAAACGTTGTAGATGAAGCCCTTTTGGACAGTTTCCATCCACAATTCCATCAGTTGACTAAAAATCAACTTTAACCGTGTTGACATCCGAACTCCGACCTAATAAAAACAATTCGCTAACCCCACCTCAGTTAAATGTAAGTTCGGCCTATACTCCCAGGTCGGACAAACCCGCCGTTATCTCAGAAAAATATCATGATTACCCCTTGTCACATCATCCTATCAATCAGATACACTTGCCACAGGTGACATCATCGCCGCCCGGAACAACCAATGCCAAGTCCTCGAACTCCAGCCCCTTACAGGTCATCATTACCTGGGTAATACATTGACACATGACCATCGACCTCATCGACCAATCATAAGAGAATTTAGCAACCCGAGTTTCGAGCTCGGCACTGTTGCTGATTTGATATAATTTCGGCTGAAACTATGTATAAATAGTTGAATAGGATTCTTGTAAAAGGCAAGTGAATTCATATAACGACTTATGGCAAATCACACTTAAAGACATTTTTTGTGGTCTTTTTCAAGCATAAATCGCCCTTTTTCATAAAATTGGTTCAAAATTATCCTTGCTAATTTTGACGTCAACAGTTTGGCGCTAGAAGAAGAGTCCTAATTGTGAAAAATAGTCCCATTCGCTCCACAAACTTTCAAGAGTCATTAGTCATAGCTCAAGTTTCAGAAATCCATCTCACACCTACCCTCATGAAACGAATATACCACTGAGTTCTCCACAACGGCAGAACCCTCAAATGACCGCAATGAGGGAAGCCTTGGAAAAATTGACAAATGCAGTGGGACGATTGGAAAGGAGCCAAACCCATTCGTCCCCATCAGATACCGAGGTGGAATCTCCTGTAAGGACAAAGGCAAGGCGTCCCCCCCACCAGGAGGACTCTCCACTTTTTAATAGGAGAATCATCAAGAAGTCAAACCGACGAGGCCAAAAGCAAGGAACCCGAGGCGAGAAGGACTGCAAGTGTGTTCGACAGATTGGGGACCCATCACTCACTGACTCCTACGCAAGGACAAATCGACCTGAAACGTCCTTTGAAACAAACAGAACCTGAACTAAGCGAGCTTAAAAAATGTATCGCCGAACTGGAGGCTAAAAACAAAGATGGCACTGAAGGTTACCAAACCAAACGACATTCTTCCTTCACTGAGGATGTCCTTATGGAACCATTACTTGAAAAATTAAAAATCCCTCAGATCACCACATACGAAGGGAATGGTGATCCCCTCAGCCACCTTGACAAATACACCTCGTGGATGGAACTACAAGGGCAAGCAACGCAATCATGTGTCGGGCATTTCCCTTGACTCTGGGAGACAAAGCCCACGAGAGGTCGGTAAAGGATTGGAATGATCTAGCCACGGCATTCTTGGTCCAGTTCATGTGCTCCAAGGACAGAACCACACCCAAAGAACGTCTAGTGAGCATCAAGCAAGGAAAAAGTGAATCCCTCAAAAGCTATCTGAGCAGGTTCAACAAGCAATTCATGGAAGTGGAAAAAATATCTGACGATGCGGCACTCATGGCCGTATTAGCAGGACTAAGACCCAAAACAAGATTCTGGTGGTCAGTACACGAGGACGGTCCAAGGACTTATCACGAGTTTTTGAATCGAGTTGAGAAATACATAACCGCTGAAGAAGCAACCTCTGACCAAGAGGAAACAAGACACGAAATTGACATTACGGTGAAAGAAAAAAAAACCAAGCCGCAGTCCCCAGCCCGAAAGAAAGAAGGACAGAAGAGAAAGAGAATGTCCCAGGGCTCAGCCATACAAGTTCCGGGAGTACCACCCACTCAAAGCCTCCTTGG